ATAAAAATAGATCATAAAAAGTAAATATAACATGTAAAAACAGATAATAAAATAAAATAAAAAGAAAAAATAAAATAAAAATAAAAAACATTAAAAAGGGGGGACTATAAAGCGAGTAGCAAAATCATAACAACTTACTTGGACAGTTATTTTTCAAGAATGATTTAAAAATGTTTTCGCAGAAAGATTGCCAGATTACAAAATATGAAAACAAAAGATGAAAACAAAAGCGCAAATTGAGTGTAACAAAAGGGTTCTAAAGTGTCGTTCTTACTGCACTGCTGAAGTGATTTGTTATTCTGAGTTTTGATTTTTGATTTGTGTAACGTAATCATAATAATTGTGTAATCATAAATGTAACGAACTGTTATTAATTCATTTTAATTACTTTTAACAAAAGCACCAGACTACTGTTACCAGATGTTGGATTTAGGCTCTTGTAATGCTAATCTTCAGAGGTTTTATTACGATGCCAGAGAAAAGACTTGCAAACAGTTTACCTTCGGTGGTTGCAATGGAAACAATAACAATTTCATGTCCAATTCAGAATGCCAGAAGAAATGTGCTAGTAAGTAATTTCTTTTCGTTAAGGATTGGTGATAATTTTTGTACTACTCAATTACATAAATCTATCAAAGAGTTAACTTATTTACTCAATCATATGATCAATACAAAGTTCATCCTGTGATTAAAAAAATTACGCAAAAAAAGTGTCAAAGAAATGTCTGTCTGGACATAAAAACTCTTAGAACTATAACAGTTTAAAAAACTACGTTTGCTAAATTTATCTCTAACGGAAACTAACGAAGAACGGAAAAATGGAAGGATTTGTGTTTCAGAAACTTGAGGAAAAAAAATCTGCAAAATTCTATAGTCTTTGTGTTTTACATTTTAGTTTTTTTTTTTTCTTTTGCTGATACTATAGTGAAAATCAATCAAAGAATGAAACTGATTTAAGCCAGCTAAGAAAAGGGCAAAATAAGGAAATAGCATTTAAAATAATAATGTGTCAAAATTTAAAAGCGCTATAAGCAGCTATAGCCAAATTCGTCTTATTTAAAAAAATTTAGAAAGTTAGAAACACAAATCAAGCAAAAGAAGAATTTCTAAAGATATGTATGTTAGCAAAAGCAGCATTTAGTGGTAATTCCAAAAACTGACTATGCCCCTAGTTTTTAGTATTACCACTGACGACAGAAAGGCTCCATAATGTTTACAGACAGAGTATTCCGTGATGAAAATCTGTTTTTGCTAAGATACATATCTTTAGAAATTCTTCTTTTTTTTCTTTTTTTGCTTGATTTGTGTTTCCAACTTTCCAAATTATTTAGTGGAAACTATAAGCAAATGTCTTTTAAAATATAATTGGTATAATAATATAAATAATATTCAACGGAAATAAAGAAACGAAACCTATGTTATCTTTTTTAATTGTATTTTGTACTCTCAAAATCTCACTTCAAAGAAATCAAAACTCATCCCTATATGCAAAAAAAATCATCGACACAATTACCACTTAATTTAAATTGAAATAAAATTACAGAACTGATTTGCATTTATTTCAGGAAATCGAACAATACAATATTTAAACCTGAAATACTTAAGTAAATCATTTCAGCTTCCTTTAGTAATTTTAAATTAATGAGAAAAAATAAGATTGATACCTCCGTGTTAAATAATATAAGTATCTTATTTTTTCTTTTTAGTATACTCATAATAATAAAACTTTTTCATATGTACAGTTGCATCTAACAAAGATCCAGTATGCATGACAACAGCAAAATGTGGGCTTTTCTGTTCCCCATGTTGTACAGAAGATGCAAATGGGTGCGTACACTGCAACTGTGAACTCATTGTTGAAAGTGAAGGTAAGGCAACGTATTTAAATTTAATTTTTTTGTATGTGGGTAAGACACTGTGAGAATACACAGAAGTGGCTTACGGTAATTACTTTCCGGTGGTGCATTTACGGATTCAGATATTATCTATAGTTGATAAAACGCGTATAAGAACGGGGTTCAAAAAACGATGAAATTTATTTTCTTGCGTTGGCAACGAAGAGCTGAAACAAACTAAGCTAAGCTGGGCAAAAGGAAAAAATCAAAGAGAAATACTTATATAAATAAACAAATTGTGCTCTAGTTTTGTTTCAGTTATGCTAATTAACACAGAATGCATAATAATTTTAAGGTCTATTTTAGTTTTATTGATACCAAATAAATTAAACAGCAGGGAGAGGCATTTTGATGAAACTGCAGAAGAGAATCATTGTATTTAGTTTAGTTAGAGATACAGCTATACGCAGTTTTTCCTATCTCGTATAAAACTTTCCAAAAAACATTTTAAATATTACCCACTTTTTACTAATATGTTGATCTAATATATAATATATCGATGCAACACACATTTTTATTTCACTCCTGGTTTAAACTCCTTTTTGTTTAATATTCATTTTTTACAAAGTTTGTTACGATGATTTTTTCGCCTTTTTTTAACTCTTTTCTTTGGTTTCTGAAATTTTTAAAAGTTTGAGATAGAATAAAGGACTTAAAATTACTATTCTCAAAAACATGAAATTTAGTGAATTATGTATTGCATATTTTTAGAAATGTAGTTCAAAATATGAACCAACATTTATATACAACTAGACTTAAATTTATTAACATTCAATAAGCGTAGTGAGCTGGACGAGAGGTCTTTAAGTAGTCTTTATTATCCAAATAAAATGCGTGGATAAAAATATATTAACAGAAGCGCTTCTATTTATTTGTTATTCTAAGTAAATGTAATTCCAAAAGTAATTACGTTGTCACAGACGTTTCAATCACTGTTAAAAAATTTTCTGAAAAAATGGTTAAATAGCATTTTATTGAATGGCTATTTTACCATATTTAATCAAAGCAGTCAAATAACCATAAATAAAATGGTAATCAAACTGTTTTTTTTTTTTGTGAAAAACTGCTTATTAACAGCTTTCATCTAATACTGCCAAACAGTCAGAACTCTATCGCACCAACTAGAACCACCTAATAACACTACTTAGTTTTTCGCAACTGCATAACCGGGAGGCTTTATCTGTCAATCTCCTGACCGGCAGAACTGGAGTTCGAGTTCAAGTGTTGACACCAAAATATTTCCTCCATTCCCTTCAACACATGAAGAATTTCCAGTGTCCGGCACTCTCCAATGCCCATTACCTTATGAAAAGCAGAGCTCCTATCTCTAGTTAAATAATTAATCTTTTTTTACGTATTTGAAAAATGCTAGTTACAAAACCGTAAAAAATCGTATAGTTTTAGATTCATGGTTCTATAACCATACTTTTTGTAAATGGTTTCAAAACCATAAAGGAAAAAAATGTTCTTTACCGTAAACTTTACGGTTAATCGGATGGATATATAGCTGCCAGTTATTTTTCCTTAATTTCAGAATGAAAATTTTAATAATGCACACTTAAAAACTTTAAATTTTATATCAATGCTATTATAACTCAACTATTTGCATTTTGCCTATAATCCGTAATTAGAATAAATATGGTTACAACATAAATTTTTATTTCGATTCCGTAATTGACATCTGACTTATTCAAACCATAATAAGCTAATTAAATGGATTAACCTTAAGCTGCATCTAAATTAAGTTAAAAGAGCGTTAAAATGCCACAAATAAAGTTACATGAAACTGTCATACTATCATTTGTGATGTAGCATTTAATCCTGAAATATGTGGCAAAAAGAATATAAAAATTCCTTTCGATTTCAAAAAAAAGACCAAAGTTATCTTATAAGTCAGACTTTAAACACATTTAGTATTAAAATCTGACTACATTTTACAAAATGGTGAAAGAATCATTTGTTTAAATCGATTTTCGCCAGGCTAACCAATGCAACAATTTCTTTCCACGTGAAAAAAATCTGAGATAGTTTCAATCAGCTCGATTTAAATAACGATCGAAATCTGCGTTCAAATTAATTGATTTAAAAAAAATAATTCTCTTAAAGCTATGATTTCTTTGAAAAAATCAATAATTGATTAATAGGTTTCAGTTAGCAAAATTCTTGGTGTGTTCTAAATCCCAGGTAAATCCTATATCTTTAGAAATACATAATCTGAAAATAATCTAATTATTTTGCTAACTTTTTTAAATGAAAAAATAAAGTAAAAATTTAATGCGGTTTTATTTTATATTTATACATTTGTAAAAAGTAGTTATTGAATATGGATTTTCCCGCAAAAACACATGATGTGATGGAAATTCTGCCAATGCCTCATTTTCAACCTTAACCTTTAAAACCATTTTTTATTTTAATCTTGCAACGCAATTTCCGTGTCTTAGAGTGTAAGCAATATTAAAAGAATATGGTCCTAACATGGCATTAAGAAAAGGTTTTGAAAGTCATATTCATATTGCTTCTACAGTAACTTTTTTTTTGGTAGGAAATGTAAGATAAGTAATTCTATGTAGAAATATTTGTCAACCTGCATTTAAATATAAGAAGTGTATGCTCGTAATAGGACAACAGAATTAATTTTGTCGTTTTTAAAGTTATAAAATAGAAATGGAGAAAAATAAATATCGGCGATATTAATTTGGTGCATTTAATTAAACCTGATTTTCAGAAGTTAGTAATGATAAATCCGTATTTCATTTTCAATAAATATTATTCAAGCATTTGCGTGCATTTGTATAAGGCGATTTCTATGGTGTAATCTAATTTTAAACGTGTATTTTGATTGTATAAAAATATTTGATTTCTAGTTATAGTTATAAATTTTAAATAATAATAAACTAAAATTATCAAAGTATCCTTAACACTAGAAAGACTGAAACTTAGTATATATTGCCCGAAAGCAGTCAAAATGAATGAATTGTGAAAGAATAACTAATGTGTAAAGAAATTCGTTTAAAATTAATTTTTAATATTTTTTATATTATTTATAGTTATATAACAAGTTATTAGTAAATATTAACAATAAAAAAAATTATACGTTGTACAAAAAGACACAAAATTCTAAGAAATTGTGTCATTATATACATAAATGTGTTTTTCCAATTGAAATTAAAAAGCAGTCAAAATGACTTCCTTGGGCAATCTAGTGTTAAAAGCATCACAAAATCCGATACAAATAAGAAAAACTGATATAGTTGGGTATCAGGTTTAAGCCCTGATCTATTCATGAAGTAATTTATTATGAATTTGAATGAAATATTGGCATTTAATACTGTAATTGATACTATTCAGATCAATGTAAAACAAAATATACACCAGTAATATTACTGTATAAATGATATTCAACCCCCCCCCCTTCAAATTACCTCCATCTCTCTTGAAACAAGGCTGGAGCGTACAGGGAAAAAAACGGTTTCCTCCCATAGTCTGTCATAACTTTATATGGCTTTCTGTAAAAACAAATCTTAAGTATTAATTTTTCTGAGGAAAACACCCCGTTTTTGCTCTAATTACTATTCTAATTACGTAACAGAAACTTTTATTATTTATTTTCAAGTAGTTTTTGACGATAAAAATTTCCACAATTTTCTTTGCAGCAAAATTACAGTTTTGTACGAATTAATTTGAAAATTATCATTTCCAGAAACAATGTATTAAAAATTGTAAGAAAAAATTACTTTTTAATACTTATATTGATATTCAATTATTTTCAAATTGATAAAAATAGTTATTAAAGGAAATTGTAAGCAAATAAAATAGCAAGAAGTATTTTTTAATGAAATAGCTCAAGAAAATCATGGAATTGACACAGCATTTAAAAAAAAGTTTTAAAAGTTTTAAGTTTTTATTTCGTAAACAAAATAGAGATTGAGCTAGTTATGAAACAAAACGCCTCAATTATAAACTCATTAAACACGAAGAAATGTTTATTCATATAATGAAAATTGTTGAAATCCTTATTACTCTTTCAGCATCGTTGAAATATACTTTATCAATAAATCAATATTGATAGGGGAAGAAATTTCGCCCGCCAAGTTACACTTTTCGATACGCTATTGAAAAGGGTTTGTCGTAGGTTTTAATTGTTTTAAGATTAAATTCTTGAGAAATGAAGGACATAATTTTGGCGAAGTTTCTCCTAAGTTACATTATTGATTTGGAATATTTATATTTATTTTCTAAATTCTACGCAGAAAGCGCGTTGGTTTAAATCAGCTTAATTTAAATCAAATAATTCCTTTTTTGAAATATATCATCAATTCAAAAATTTACAAAGCACTTTAGAATTCCTTAAATTCTTATCGTCTGGTTGTGTAATTTCTCATTTTGGTGATCGGAATTTGCAGATTTGATCCGGCAATTTAATACTATCAGAATTTTTTTTAAAATAGTTCAAAACAGTCTATGTTTAAATGTCAACAGGCTTATATACGTAGAGCTTTAACAACGAAATTAGTCACATTTATGTCTGGGATCATTTGGGACTGCGAGTTGGGCATCCCACGAGTTTGAACGAACTAGAGGCAAGGTTACAGCCAATATGGAACGAAATGTCTCAAAACATCATACAGAACTTGTATGCCTCAATGCCCGATCGTATCGCATCGTGCATTCGCGCTAGAGGGGGTCCAACAGAGTATTAAATCCTCCGTTCTTTTGCGTTTTTCTATGAAATAAATTATCCCTTTTCCTTGATTTTCTAATCATTTACTTATATCAAAGTAGTCATTACGTATGTAAAATTTCGTTTCATTCTGACACCTCCTTCTTGGTGAGCTAATTTTTTTGTCCATGAGTGTATATATAGTATCCATAATATAAGTTAAAAAAGAAGAAGGAAAATCAAAATTATTAAATAATTAAAAATTAATTAAAGTTGGATAATAAAAAAAACAAAATAATATAATCTCGTCATCAACTCGCACTATTATGTTCGTAAAAATATTGCTTTCTCATATTACATCAATAAAATATAGATATAGTGTCAATTGTATGATAATATTTTATGTTATGATATAATATAGTATCAGCATTGCATTGATATATTTTGCTCTGCTTTTATTGATACATTATCAGAAAATGCTATTTCTGCTGATACAATCATGTGATCTGATTTTGTTGATTTATTATCCAACTTTAATTTTTTATTTTTTTTTTTAAATTTTTGATATTTTTATTTTGTCTTTTAAATTTTTATTTATATTTAATTTTTATATAAATTAACCCCCAATATAATTAATACAATAAGCAAATTTATCTCCAACTGAAATCAACAAATAAAAAAACTGATTAGTTTATCCTATCTAAATTAACTCTATCTAATCTTCTTTAATTTAATAAAATTATATGAAATATAAACTTGTATGAAACAAAAAATTTTCAATATTTTAAAAATTATTTAAAGGCAAGTTTTGAATCACATTTTATGGTAATATTCTCCCCATGGTAATATGGTAATATTCAACAATTCTTCCCCATGAAATCTTCGCCAGTCTAGCAACTAAACAGAAACATAACAAGGTCAATCAATAACTAAATTAAACATTAACATTTCCTTGCTCTTTTAAAATTCAAAATAAAGCCTATTGTAAGCATGAGCAATTTGAAGCGTGGTTGGTTACTTTGTAATCTGTATAACTTAACTGAGAAAAATTCTCCTTCATTTTGTAAAGGATAATGATTTAAATTAAAGTTAATTCCCTCGGGTACGTCGGAAAGATAATCAGTGAGCTGGTTCAGCGAACTATTGAGAATCTAGATAATTTACGTCTTACTCTTATTAAATTTTAAATCTCTTTGAAATAAAACAAAAATATTAAAATATCTGAATTTTTGCAGAATTTAGAATCTAGATAGTTTGCTCATCCTTCTGATATTAAATTTTAACCCTCTTTGAAATAAGGCAAGAATATTTAATCTACATGAATCGTTTTGGTTTCACCAAGCAGGCTTGCTGGTATAATAGTAAGTAGTAATAGGAACAGCAACGTGAATCGTTGCTGAAATGAGAATCTAGATAACTTACGTCCAACTGTTATCCGTTTCTAGATCTTATAGGTAAAAAATAATAATTTTTAGTGAATTTTTTTGTATAAATTGTTCCATAATAGAGAATCTACATAAATTGAGCCCTACTGTTTTTAAGTTTTAAATCTCATTGAAGTAAAACAAGAAATATCTAAATTGTTGTAGAATTGAGAATCTTGATAGCTTTCGTTCAACTGTTATCAAGTTTTAAATATCTTTGCAATAAAACAAGAATACTTAAGTATCTGAATCACAGAATTGGAAATCTAGATAGTTTACTTTCAGTTATCAATTTTTATATCTTATAGAGAAAAAAAAATTATGATATAAATTGTTGCGTAATAGAGAAACTAGATAAGTTGCGCCCTACTGTTTTTAAATTTAAATCTCTTTGAAGAAAGATAAAAACCTAAATATCTGAATTGGTGTAGAATTGAAAATCTTGACGTCCTATACTTATCAAATTTTAAATCTCGTTGTAATAAAACACCAAAACAGAAATATTATGGGTGTAGCCTCTTTCTTAGATACGAAGATTGATACAAATTTTTGCAATGAAAATTAAAAATTGAATGACCTCTACCAATTCATAGTTATTTACTAGTGCTTATTTAAAAACATAGTTTTAAAGTTTTGCTCAGATGGCAGAGAATCTATAGGCTATCGCAACACTCGAATACGCTATCTGGGGAGAAGACCTGTTCCATGCCTTTGACCCTTCCCCGTTCCCCCTCCCCCTTCAGTTGTATAAGATTTCCTTTTTTTTATTTCCAATGAGCTGCACAATCTTTCCAATGAACAGACCTAGTGCGTTCTCCAGAAGTGGTATCCACTCTTTCAGGACCACCACAGTGGGTGAGATACCGTTGGCCATGTTAATTTGGACGTCTAGTTTCTGCCACACTAGATGGCAGCACCGAGACTCTATTTGGATGCTAAAGTGCACTAGGAATTTAATTTTGCCGGAAATGCCAAGAGCCAATAAGGCACTCCAGGGATCTTTTACATGCCGCATAATCACACGACATGGCTGCTGAGGATTTTCTGCATCCCGAAAATCCGGTGTCTGGACCGGGGATCAAACCCCCAGACTTGGGCTCAGAAGGCCGACGACGAACCAACTGCGCCACCCATCCACTCAGTTGTATAAGAATGTACTACGATATTTTTCTTAATATTTTAATCCATAGGTAGAGAGTTCTGCTCTACACCACCTGTAGCCCATTTCGATTGCCAATTGGTGAGTTTTACAACCGATTTTAAAGCTTGGTGAGAAGAAATTTCCTAAATACCACTAATCTCTGCAATTGACAACAAGCGATCTTTTCATAGTGTGACGCAATAAAGTTAACTGTTAAACGAAGCTTATAACCAAAATGTAAATATTTAACTTAACCTTTATCCAAATCTAAACAAAACACCGGTTTTGAAACTCACTTGTTCCTCCCACATTCACAAACTGAGCTCGTTACAAAGCAAAAGCGGTTGAACCTCTTTTCTACCTTCGAAGATCACCAATAGTTGATGCTATTATTTACACAGGAAACGAAACAGTTAAGAGACTCCACTCATCACACATTGTCTATTGGAATACAAATCCATTGTTCTTGTTAACTGAATTAGCTAGCGGTATAAGCCCAGGAGTGAGATGTAGCTTTATTCGAATATTCCAAATGAAATTTCGAACGGTTTTAAAATAGAAGAGAACACAACTTCCAGAATATTGTGCTGAAATTCACCATTTCGTCAGAAAAGCTTTTCGCTCTGTTCCAGCTATAGAACTGAAATGTCATCGTCAAAAGGCTAATCGATACCCAAATGAAATATTAACATTTCCTCGCCCTTTCAGAATTGAAGAGGAGGAAGCCTATTTTAAGCATGAACAATTTCAAATGTGGTTGGTTGCTTTGTATCTTGGCAAACTTAATTGAGATAATTTCTCATTTATTTCGAAACGGTGAACAATTTAAATTAAAGTTAATCTGCCCTGTGTTCGAGGATAAAGGAATCATTGGGCCGGTCCAATAAACATCTGGTATGGCAAATGACAAGATAGCTAGATTACGTTCCATCGCGGCTATGTTTTAATTCTATTTATATTAAAATAAAATAATTGAATTTCTGAATTAATGAAGCTTATAATCGTGGAACATTTCATTTTCACATTCATAAGCTTTCTCGAGAGTTTCATACAAAAGTAAAGTGGAATAACTCTTTGTTTCTGAAATTCAATTTAGTTTTAATTAGTTTTAGAAAAATGTGAAGTTTTAAATTTTTATTTTATTTTTAATTCCTTATTAAATGCAAGTTTCTAAAAAAATAGTTTTTCCTTTAAATATGGACGTATGCTACAAAAAATTAGGTGTTTACTAATCAAAGGTAATCCTGAAACTAATGAAGCTTATAATCTTAATGTCGCCATTTTTTTTTTAAACTCCATTTATTTTTTGAACCATTATATAATTTCAAAAGTTGATCATTCATTTTTTTTTTCTAAATAATCGTTATTTTAAATGATGAATTATTGTCGACACCGTCAGAGTGTTTCATATGCCTGTGACATACCAGTTCCCCGCTATGTTCTCCCATTGAATTCCATCTTTCAATTTGTCAGCCAAATATAGCCAAATATGTCAGCCAATTATGTTCTTTCAGCCAAATATGTTTTTTAACGTGAGTTAGTTATTAGATGCGGATCCGGACTCTAAGGTGGCTGTGCGATGATATTATATTGAAACCATTGCATGAAGAAAGACGGTTTGGTGGGTGATAAAATAAAGAATGAGTGCTTTCATGTGAGAAAACCTATATTTCAAAACCATAGAAAAGTAATAGAGATCCTACTTTTAAGATAATAGAAAAAAGAAACAATGGAAGATCTTACTTTTTTAATTGGCTATCGTAAATTAATTCATTTATTTCTTTAGTTCTGAAACGATTAAACCAGTTATATTTTTTATTAACTATTAGCAGCATACTTTTAATTTCATGATCATGCTTAGAAGCACATTTTTTTCAATTGTTTATTGGTGCTGCCATATGAAATAAAGCATCAGTCACATGTTTTTGAAAGGAAAATATCATTTTGTCACAGTTTTTTTATGAAAACTCTCGACGACTGTAACCGTCATTAGCTCATCACCGCAATTTTTTTTTTCTCTTCCCAGACAAACAACAAAAAAAATTGACATATTATCTGGAATGTTACATGTTTTTTTTCGATGTATTACTAAATAGTTAACAAATAAATGTATTAGTACACTTCATACAAATGATGCTTCTTTTTTTAATTAACTAAAATGAGTAGAACACGAAATTTTTCGTGACCTTTATAAGAAACTCAATGATTTTCAAGCTTACCACCAGCAGATAGAACACCAGTGTCTCTATTATGTTTTTTTTTTCTGACACTCTAATTACAAGCAAAAATATATTTTGATATTTTTTTTAAATTTGGAAAACAGTCTAATAGTTACTAACAAATCTGCTAGACTATCGGTATTACATTTGTATAACGATATAAATGTAAACATAACGATATAACGACTAGTTCATATAACGAATACAATGTAAATGTGGTTTACAAATCTCCATGCACTGACAAAAATTGTTCCAGTAAGCAAAATATTTATTGTATAAGTAGTACTAGGAAATATAATTTTGTTTATTTATTCTTTTTTCATTAATTAAATTTTTACTTAATGATTAATTTACTTATTTATTTCCAGATAACCCTCTAAATTGTGTCAGTTCGCCTTCTAAATGTCCAGAGGAATGCGATTTGGAAAATATTTATCAAGGATGTCACGTGTGCAGATGCGGTGAAGTAAATAGAAACGATGATTTTGGGAGTAAGTTAGAGGAAATATTTATAATAGACTTTTAGGTTTTAATATTACTAACAAGAAAACGGTGTTATAATATAATTTTTATAAAACTTTATAATTAAAAAACCACTTAGAATATTTAATTTGTTAATTGGTTGTTTCTTACGCTAGAAAAAGTGAAGTGAGTATGCCTAACCATGTGATTTAAATGATTTAATTGGATACTTGCAAAAGACGTCACGAGCGTGTGTCGAACCTAATTGGCTTCTGAATCGACAAATGACGAGATTTACCTACGATGACGTCACTTGCACACATTCCCCCCAATTGCGCAATAATCAATTAATCTTCACACAAATGTATGATTCGGCAACGCTTGGTAACAAACACTCTTCAATAAACAAAAAAAGAAAAGCAAGAAAAGGAAATTTTTTCACGTTGTTTCTAAAAACATTTTTAAAAAATACAGATAGTAAATGCGCATAAAAAATAGAACATTCAGAAAGCTATACCATTTCATTATTATTTATTTTTTTAAAAAGGAAGATACTTCTGAAAAAGATGAAAAACGCTTGTAGGAAAAAAAACTAAGTACTGTTTTCCCAAACTAAATAACGTCGTTTTCTTCTGTATTTTTCAACTATTTCCATATCATTTCTATTGCCAAATTCACTTGTTTAGCGTCTCTGTTCACATAAATGGAATTACGCACAAGAGAAAACGAAACATTTGAATAACTTATGAACATCACGATCGAATTTTCACGTACTAACCTACAAAATCAATAGTTTAAGGGGTTACCCTTAAGTATGCAAATTATTTTATGCTGATGGTGTGTTAAATTACAAATCAGTCAAGAAATTTTGATTTCTCTGAATAAAAATACTTATTTTTTAACGGATTTGCATTCTTCGCCCATAGAACATATAGAGTTGCTGCAATCTGTAAAAAATACGTTTTTGATTGTTTAATTAGAAGTGCAGTCAAAAGATTTAGATTTAGAATTTTACTCTTTACATATTTTGCTATATCCATTAAAATACTTTTGAAAATGTTTCCTACAGTTTAAAATGTATCGAATCATTTAAAAATATTTCGATAATTATTAAATTAAGAAATAATAAATAATTATTAAAAATTAATTTTCACGTTAAATTGACCTTATAAAAGCAAATCTCTACAAAAACTATTTGTTTCACTTACTCTAGAGATAAGACTAAATATTCAAGAAGAAATATATCAAATTTTGGTCCACCCTTCTGTCGAATTTATTGGAACCATTTTTTCCAGATTGCGGTTTTACTCCTTTACTTTGAAAGTCTAGAATCTGTATTTGTCGAAAAAGAATGTATCTTTATTTAATAAGAAAAAAGTGAATTTTGTAATTTAAAACATCATCTTCACTGTTAAATAAATAATCCTTAGAAATTAAGCGGTAAGATATTATTTAATCAAAAATTTCCTTCACGTCAAAAATATGTGAATTGGAAATAACAGTCGGCATGTTTCAAGAACTCAAAAATAGGCACCCAATCATAATTTTCATGTCTAGAAATCATGTTTTATCCATATAAATGCTAATTCCCTTGTTATCTACAATAGTTCCTCACGACCTCTCCATAGAGCTCGGAAATGCATTTTACCCTTGCTTGCCCTTTTCTGTCAGTACGATATTTCTTGCTTTGTTTTCCATATTTTTTATCTCTTGGCTACTGTGGTTTTTCTTGTTCCGTTTATCATCTTTACTTCTCCATTTTTGCTAGCAACTTTACGTTTTATATTTCGAAATCACTTTTGTTTCTTCTCATTCACGTCTGGCAAGTCTTGAAAATAAGCGCCTGTTTCTCAGCACTCGAAACAAATCAACTGTTATTTCTAATTTGCATATTTTTGAAAGGAATGAAGTTTTTAGTTAAGTAATATCATCTTCACTAATTCCGGATCAATCCATCGAGCCACAAAGATATTAGTATGCGAAAATCCGATTATTAGATCAAAAGTTCACGTCTAACGTATTCCTTTTATTGTTCCACGTCCTGCTCATAATGTACCTACAACATTTCAAAGCTATCACTTTGAAATCTATTCATATAAAAAAAGGGAATTTTTTTGCCACAACATCCAAAATTATCACTTCTTATTCATTTTGCGAATTTTTATTCTTTTCAAAAACGTGTAATATAAAAATTTATTCGAAACGTATGTCTCTCTTCTATACTAAAAATAATTTAAAATTTATGGAATGTTGTTTATCAATTCTTCTTCTTTTGAACTTTTATTCATGTGAGACTGTAACTTTAAGACTCTGTTAAACATTCAAAAATAAAAATATATTTTCCTGGAGTTTAACAGTATAGCGTTAAAAGTATACCTCCAAGCATTAAAAATGCACGATTCTATGTCGGCGCATCGGTAATGCATAGCGCCATTTTTTTTTATTTTACAGTTTGTAACGAAGTGAAAGATCCAGGGACATGCAATGACGGAATCGAAAGATATTACTTCGATGCTGTTTATCAAAAATGCGAGCAATTCACATATCGTGGATGTGGAGGAAATAATAATAACTTTCAAACTTTACAAGAATGTAGAGAAAAATGTTTAAAACCTGAAAGAGGTAAAAACATTTGAAGTCTTTTTCTGTTTCATTTAAATGTGAAATTAAGGTTACTTTTTATTTATTTATATTAAGAGGACGCTATACGGTAGGCAATGCCCTTTATAACAAACTCTCTTTCAATGACATTAGTAATTTAAAATTTTAAATAAAAAAAAAGAGTTGAAATAAACTAAGAGTTAACTATGAAATTTAGAAAATAGAAGAAAAAATTGAAAAAATACCGATTTGCAAACAAATTATGACAAGATTATTTCCTTCGAAACAGCAGCTAATCCTTTCGTGATTTGTTTGCAATTTAATGCGTGAAACTCCACAATGCGTGAACTCCACAATTCACAATTTCAATTATCTTGGTTTATCTAAACTCTTTTTTTTTCTTTTCATTTTGAGTTTCAAATTTTCTGTCAAGTCGCAAAGTCCCTTCATGTTCCCATAACAAATCAGCACCTCTGGGGGTACTGGATTGGAGATCGATCGTTCTCTGATCTAGGTCAAAATTACGATCTGTGGGTGAATGAATGGATGCATGACTGGGTCCGCCTTATAAGCAGGTATGACCTATGATGTGGCAGAAGTCGAATTCTTGGCCATAGATGGCGCCACTAAAAAACAAGAATCGCACACTCTGCCTTAAATTTGCTCGGTTTCACCAAGTAGGCTTGCCCGCGTGGCAAGTGGCATTCGAACCAACCAAATTATTAATGTGAATGAAAGGAGAATTCGCTATGAATGGTTTTCCCGGGCACACTATAAGGCAAGCTTAAGAGAGGACATACGCTGAGTGAGCACGTGATAAGCAAATGGCGCACAAGAAGCAGGTTCCCATACTTTTGCATTAGATTACATAGTTTCACACCATTCTAACGCAAAAGTATAGTATTTCGTAACCAGTATGCCTCTTTCCTAAAGTTTGCTTCCTCATTATGTGGCTTTGTCTAAGTACACGTTAAAACGCGGGAGAAACGGTTCTTAGCAAATTCGGTTTTACCTACATTAGTAATTTAAAGTACAGAAAAAAGTGAGTTCAGGTTAACTCAGAGTAAATAATGAAGTCTCAAATGCCGGTCAAAGTTGTTCTCAAAATATCTAAATGCAAACAAATTGTGGCAAGATAAATTCCAGTCTCCGTGATCCTGAATAAATTTGTCATAATTAATTTGTATTTTGATATTTTGAGAAAAATATTTTTGTTTGAGCTTTAAGTGATGAAAAGAAATTTTAAATTTATGGGTTACTGCTTTAAGACACTTGAAATTTTATGGTTACTGCTGCTTTACTTCCAGAATCCCAGAAAAATTCTACCATTATTTGTTTCGATTTTGACATTTGAAACTTAATGTTTTATTCAGAATTTATTTGAAATTATTTTTTCTATGCTTTAAATTTCAAATTATTAATGTGGGTAAAACAGAACAGTTTTTTTCTCGGTATAGCGTCTTCTTAAGGGATCTATTTTTTATGTAAATCTTCTGTGAATTTATTTCATTATTTTTTTATCTTTGCTTTTTTTGTTTTGAAAATCGAAAATTCAACTATAAAAGACACTCATATACATAGATGCAAGGGCTCTTGAAAGCAACGCAACATTATTTATAGAAATCATAAGAGTAGAAAATAAGATATATTTTCACATTTTTATAAAATTGTTAAAGTGAGGGCCTTTAAATCTAAAATTGTACATTAATTCCATCAAAAAAGCCCTCGAAGAAGCTAGTTTGTCCCAATGATTGATCTCGCATTTCCCTTGTCTTTTGGGTTGGGTCCAAGACAACGGAGCAGAACATTGATAGTCAGAAACTCAGAAATAGGGCAGGTGTTCACCGCCGATTATAAAATATGAAATAAAATTTACGTAATTCTCATTTTTTTCGATTGTCTACAATTTGCTTAACTATTTGTTAGTTTGGCAATTTTTTCTCATTTAATTTTATTCAGAATAAAAACATACAAAATTATACTAAATTTAAATTATTTGTTTTAGCATACAAATAAAGAAAGAAAATCCGAGCTTACTAATTTTGATTACAATAAGTGATTGATAATATTAACCGCAATCACATGGAGCAGAGAATAATGTACTTTAAATTAAAAACTGGTTAGTGAAGCCAAGATGAAAAAAGGTTTCAAAACTATATTTTTGATTGTTTCAAGTTCAAAGGGCTGAAATATCAGGCGAAGAAAACATAATAAAAAACATAGGATGAAAAGATAAGAGATATGCAGACATATCAATGCATCAGCAACAAAACGAAAAATGTTAACACTTGTACATTCCGGGATAGCCTGGTCGGTAGGGCGCTGAGCCCATATCCAAGAGGTCGTGGGTTCGATCCTCGCCGGCCGAAGACTCCCCGTGTAGTAAATGGTGACTGATGCACGTTAAATCTGTCGAGTCTCAAAGTCCTCCATGTTCCCACAACAAATCAAACCTCTGGGGGTACTGATCCAGGAGTTTCCTTGTCTTCTGGATTGGTTCAAAATTACAAGGCTACGGAGTTGAACATAAGTAGTCGCAAACCCATGAAATTGGGTCGGCTGTTCAACGACGGTTATAAAATAAAATAAAGAACACTTGTACATGAGTCGTGGTGGCTCAGAGGATAGAACACTCACCATCCAATGGGATGAAATGGGTTCGAATTCTAGCGATGACTAGTTCATTCGAATTCCGCACCCCGCTTTCACTGACCACAGAGCTGACGTAAAATATCCTCAGTGGTAAACGCATCCTGGACTAGAGTCCCCTTGGCGTCAGGCCAACAGTGGGAGGTTTTCTTTGTTTCCTTCTCCATGTAACGCAAATGCGGATTAGTTTCATCAAAAAGTCCTCCAGAAAAGCAAATTTCTCCCGATACTTGATCCAGGAGTTCCCTTGTCTTCTGAATTGGGTTCAAAATTACAAGGCTGGGGAATTGAACGTTGGTAGTCATAAACCCAAAATTGGGTCCACATTTCAACGATGGTTATAAAATAAAATAAAACGCTTGTATATAGTGTTTGAACCTGCTAAAAGAGATTTTTTCAATTTCACTATGTTATTTTGTTTCTACATACCTTTTATAAATTTATAATCAGTACTGTGATTTTATGCATTGAAGACAAAAATTTAAAAATTTGTATTTCAGATCATACTGTTGTGATGAAATCACCAGTGGATGAGAATGATCCGAACAGCTCACATAGATCGAGTACATCTGTACTGCTGACTACCTTACTCATTCTGTTAGTCAACATTTATTGTTTAGATTTCATTCACCATTAACATGCTTTAGAACAAAATTATAAAGAATTAAAGACACATTTCATGAAAAGAAATAGGGCATGTCTTTTTAAAGTTTTAAATCATTTTGCAGCAACAAATATTTCATTTCGGCAACAAATATTTGCAATATTTCATTTTTATTTTCTTTTGATGTGTACCACATACTGTTGATCTTCATATTAAGCATTTGTATTTATAAATGAAGTTTAAATAAATATAAATTTAAAAAAAATTGTGTGGAATGCTTTTGTTTGTGTATTATATGAAAAAATGAAGATAGAACATCATGCCAAAAAAATGAGTCAAATAAAACAACATTTTCATTTAAAGTCAAGAATACAGAACCAATCCGAGTTTTTAAGAAAACGATATTTTTTCCAATGTTACTACAATATTATTAAAAACTATCATTATTGAAGTTTCAAATTTTTCATAAGCATTTTAATTTCTGCTGCTGCATTAAACTTGGTTTGGAATATATTTTTAAGCAACAACACGATAGCTTTTAAGCATATGTAAGACAGTAATCTTCGCAATAATCTGTAACATCATGGAAAATTTCTAAAATTTAAGTTGATGTATTATTTTTTATTCAAATGCTGCACTTGGTAGGCTCTTTAATCTTGAAGGGCTAGAATGTCTATTACTACAGTATATGAGGAAACAGCTACTTTACTAAAAGAAAGAACTTAAAATTAATTAATGGAAAATACATTTCTGAAACAAACTAAGCTATAATCTGGGCAAAAGGAAAAAATAAAAGCGAAATGTTTATGTAAATAAACAAATTGTGCTTTAGTTTTGTTTCAATTATGCTAATTAACACAGGATACATAATAATTTGAAGGTCTATTTTAGTTTTATTGATGCTAAATAAATTAAACAGCAGAAAGAGAGGCATTAATAATGAATCCGCAGAAGAGAATCAATTTAGTTTGATCAGAAATGCAGTTATAAACAATTTTTCCAAACTCACAAACTTAAATTTATTAACATCCAATAAGCGTAGTGAGCTGGATGAGAGGTGTTTAAGTAGTCTTTATTATCCAAATAAAATGCGTGAAGAAAAATATATTAGCAGAAAAGCTTCTATCTATTTTTTATTCTAGGCACATTTCAATTCCAGAAGTAATTGCATTATCACAGACGTTTCATACGCTTAAAATGTATCAATTTTATATTATTGCTAATATAACTCAACTATTTTCATTCTGCGTATTATCCGTTATTAGAGTAAATATGGTTACAACATAAATTTTTATTTTGATTCAATAATTGACATCTGACTTATTCAAAACATAATAAACTAATTAAATGGGTTAACCTTAAGCTGCATTTAAATTAAGTTAAAAGAACATGAAAATGGCACAAATAAAGTAGCATGAAACTGTCATACTATCGTTTGTGATGTAGCATTTAATCCTGAAATATGCGGCAAAAAGAATATAAAAATTCTTTCCGATTTTAAAAAAAAGGACAAAAGTTATCTTAAAAGTCAGACTTTAAACACATTTAGTATTAAACGCCGACTACATTTTACAAAATCATGGAAGAATAATTTGTTTAAGTCGATTTTCGCCAAGCTTGCCAACGCAAAAAAAAAAAAATTTCACGTGAAAAAAATCTGAGATAGTTTCAATCAGTTTTATTCAAATAACGATCAAAATCTGCATCTAAATTGAAAGATTTTTAAAAAAAATCATTCTCTTAAAGCAGTGTATCTTAACCTTTTTGGTATAATGGACCTCTTAAAAATTTTTAAGAAGTCACGGACCACCCCCTGTGAAAAAAATTATTGCAAAAAACATCAAGTATCAGAAAGCATTTAATTTTATTATTTAGTCTACAAAATTTTTAATATTTAAATTTTTAATGTGAAGGTTGCTGCTGCTTTTCCTTAATTAATAAATTGGATTAGGGGATGGTATNGCAACCTTGTTGGAAGTCGCATAAGAAGTATAACTTAGAAAATTCTTTCCGATTTAAAAAAAAAAAGACAAAAGTTATATTATAAGTCAGACTTTAAACCCATTTAGTATTAAAAGCTGACTACATTTCACAAAATCATGGAGGAATAATTTGTTTAAATCAATTTTCGTCAGGCTAACCAATGCAACAATTTTCTTTCCACATGAAAAATATCTGAGATAATTTCAATCAGCTTTATTTAAATAACCATCAAAATCTGCATTCAAATTAATGATTTTAAAAAAAATATCCACTTAAAGCTAGGATTTTTTTTAAAAAAAATCAAGAATAGATTAACAGGTTTCAGTTAGCGAAATTCTTGGTGTGTAGTAAATCCTATATCTTTAGAAATAATCTGAAAGTAATCTAATTATTTTGCAAAATTTTTTTAAATAAAAAAAATAAAGAAAAAATTTAATGCAGTTTTATTTTATATTTATACATTTGTAAAAAGTAGTTATTGAATATGAATTTTCCCGCAAAAACCGTGATGGAAATCCTGCCAATGCCTTATTTTCAACCTTAACCTTTAAAACCATTTTTTATTTTAATCTTGCAAACGCAATTTCCGTGTCTTAGAGTGTAGGCAACATCAAAAGAACACGATCTTAAAATGGCATTAAGAAGAGGTTTTGAAAGTCATATTCATATTGCTTCTACAGTAACATTTTTTTTTTTTTTTTTTTTTTTTTTTTATTNTAGAAATATTTGTCAACCTGCATTTAAATATAAGAAGTGTATGCTCAGAATAGGACAACAGAATTAATTTTGTCGTTTTTAAAGTTATAAAATAGAAAGGGGGGAAATAAATATCGGTGAAATTAATTTGGTGCGTTTAATTAAACCTGGTTTTCAGTAGATAGTTAGGATAAGTCCCTATTTCATTTTCAAGAAATATTATCCAAACATTTGCGTGCATTTGTATAAGGCAATTTTTATGGTGTAATCTAGTTTTAAATGAATTGTTTGATTTTTTAATAATATTTCAGCTCTAGTTATAGTTATGACATTTAAATAATAATAAACTAAAATTCTCAAAGTATCTTTAAAAACATCACAAAAATCCGATATAAGTAAGAAAAACAGATATAGCTGGGTGTTAGGTTAAAACCCTGTTCTATTCTTGAAATAATTTATTATGAATTAGAATGAAAGATTGGCATTTAATACGCTAATTGATACCATTCAAATCAATGTAAAAAAAATACTCCAGTAGCATTACTGTATAAATGATGTTCAGTCCCCCCCCCCCAACCGAATTAGCTCCATCTCTCTTGAAAGAAGGCTGGAGCGTACAGGGAAAAATAGAGCAGTTTTATAAATAGCAAAATAGAGCAATTTTCTATAGCTTTCGGTAAAAACAAATCTTGGTTATTAATTTTTCTAAAGAAAACACCCCTTTTTTCTATAATTACTGGACTAATTACATAACAGAAACTTTTATTACTTATTTTCAAGTAATTTTTGACAATAAAAGTTTCCACAATTGTTTTGTAGCGAAACTACAGTTTTGTACAAATTAATTTCAAAATTATCATTTCCAAAAACAATGTGTTAAAAATTATGAACAAAAAAATTACTTTTTAATGTTTATATTCAGGGTGGTCCTAAAATATATGTCAAAAATGTAAAGGTAGGTAGAGGGGACCTAAATAAGCATATTTTGTCTAGGATTGTGTGTGCGGTAATGGCGCCTTGAGCCGGTAGGGAGCGCTGATGACTGCGGCGTATAAAAGCGCTTGCTAGATGGATTCATCATTTCCCGCAGGACGTGGCGATCCAGTTCCCTGGCCATTACGTTCTCCTGATTTAACCTGCTTGGATTTTTTTCTTTTGGGATCATATTAAAAGCCTCGTGTACGAGATTCCCGTCAAGAAGATCTTGTTGCCCGATTGTCTGTTGCTGTTTTACATGTGCTCGACATGCCTGACGTCTTTTCTAATGTACGCTGATCCATGCTCCGTCGATATAAGTCTTGTATCGCTGTTGGTGGCTGCTCCTTCGAGCACCCGTTGTAAACTGTTGATACATTTTTATTTTCTTTTGTCTTTACTTGTCTTTTCAGTTTCCTTTGATTCATACTGCTTTACAAGCTAGTGCTTTAACGTGCCATTACCGCACACACATTCCTAATATGCTTATTTATGTCCCCTCTACCTAGCTTTAAATTTTTGACACATATTTTAGGACCACCCTGTAGATTTTCAGTTATTTTAAAATTGATTTGAAAAAAATCGTTTATAAAGGAAATTGTAAGCAAATAAAATGGCAAGAAGTATTTTTTATAGAAATAGCTCAAAAAAATCATGAAATTGATACAACATTTTAAAATTTTAATTTCATGAACGAAGTAGAGATTGAGCTAGTTATGAAACAAAACGCCACAATTATAATCTCATTAAACAAGAAGAAATGTTTATTCATATTATGAAAATTGTCAAAAAATCCTTATTACTCTTTCAGCATCGTTGAAATATACTTTATCAATAAATCAATATTGATAGAGGAAGAAATTTCGTCCGCCAAGTTACGCTCTTCGATACGCTTTTGAAAAGGGTTTGTCGTAAGTTATAATTGTTTTAAGATTAAATTCTAGAGAAATGAAGGACATTAATTTGGCAAAGTTTCTCCTAAGTTACATTATTGGTTTAGAATATTTATATTCATTTTCTAAATTCTACGCAAGGCGCGTTGGTTTAAATCAGCTCAATTTAAATCAACTGAGTCCTTTTCTGAAATATATCATCATCAATTCAAAAATTTACAAAGCATTTTAGAATTCTTCAAATTCTTATCGTCTAGTCGTGTAATTTCCCATTTTGGTGATCGGAATTTGCAGATTTGATCAGACACAATTTAATACTATCAGGAGAAAAAAAATTAAAAGCCTAAAACTGTCTCAGTTTTAATACCAACAAGCTTACAAACGGAGAGCTTTATCAACAAAATTAGCCACAATTATGTAAAATGGTCATTGATTATTGAATAAAAGGTAGCGCATATGCTAGCAAAACTATGAAGGTCAATTACCCTAATATACTTAATATAAACCTATACTATATACTTTGTATTTATATATAATTTTATTTTGCTTACTTTATGAATTAACAAAAATTTTCCGATTTGTAATTTTCGAGCGCCTTGTTTAGAACACCTGGAACGAGAATTTAGAGGGGATCATTTTTGGTGTTGAGGTAACCTAAAATTTCTTAGAGGACATGTAGTCACATTTTTGATTTCCTTTTTTGCCGTTATAGATTTATTTATTCCTTTTTTTGCTTGTTTATTTACTGAAAACGCATATTTTCATGCACATTGGAATCAATTTAATGGCTTCATTGAAAAAATATTTCATATATAAAACTAACATATTTTTAACAATATATTTGCATTAATTCTTTCAAACAACTATTCGTTTTGTTAATTTTATGAAAAAATTTGCAGGNGATATATATATATATATAGTTTTTTCATATTACATCAATAAAGTATAGATATTGTGTCAATGATATGACAATATTTTATGGTATGATATAATGTAGTATCAGCATTGTATTGAAAAATTTTGCTTTCTTTTTATTGATACAATATTAAAAAAGGTTATTTCTGCTGATACAATCATGTGATCTGATTTCGTTGATTTACTATCTAACATTAATTTTTATTTTTTAAATTTTTTATTAATTTTCTTGTCTTATAGATTTTTATTGGAATTTTTATTTCATTTTTATTTTTACATAAATAACGCTTCCAATTGTATTTCAATGAAATTCGAATGTCATAAAAAAAAAATTATGCTTCTTTTCCCATATTTGCTTATAGCCCATTTAGTAAAGATCTACCGCGACAGTAAAAATCAAATCCATTTTTATCTTTTTAAAAATACATCTCAACTAAAAAGAAAAAGGTTAGTTTCGATTTTTTACCCTCAACCAAAATCAACAAATAAAAAAATTGATTAGTTTATCCTATCTAAATTAGCTCTATCTAATCTTCATTAAATTAACAAAACTATATGAAATATAAACTTGTATGAAACGAAAGATTTTAAATATTTTAAAAATTATTTAAAGGCAAGCATTTTATGGTAATGTTATTCTTCCCCCATGGAATCTTCCCCAGTCTCGCAACTAAACGGAAACATAACAAGGTCAATCAATAACTAAATTAAACATTAACATTTCCTCGCTCTTTTAAAACTCAAAATAAAGCCTATTGTAAGCATGAGCAATTTCAAGCGTGGTTGGTTACTTTGTAATCTGTAAAACTTAACTGAGAAAAATTCTCCTTCATTTTGTGAAGGATAATGATTTAAATTAAAGTTAATTCCCTCGGATACGTCGGAAAGATAATCAGTGAGCTGATTCAGCGAACTACTGAGAATCTAGATAATTTACGTCTTACTCATATTAAATTTTAAATCTCTTTGAAATAAAACAAAAGTATTCAAATATCTGAATTTTTGCAGAATTTATAATCTATATAGTTTGTTCATCCTTCTGATATTAAATCTTAACCCTCTTTGAAATAAGACAAGAATATTTAACTACATGAATCGCTTTGGTTTCACCAAGTAGTCTTGCTGGTATAATAGTAAGTGGTATTAGGAACAAGAACATGAACCGTTGCAGAATTGAGAATCTAGATAAATTACCTCCAACTCTTATCTGTTTCTAGATCTTATAGAGAAAAAAAATATTTTTTAGTGAATTGTTTTGCATAAATTGTTCCATAATAGAGAATCAAGATAAATTGAGCCCTACTGTTTTTAAGTTTTAAATCTCATTGAAATAAAACAAGAAATATCTGAATTGCAGTAGTATTGAGAATCTTGATAGTTTTAGTTCAACTGTTATCAAATTTTAAATCTATTTGAAATAAAACAAGAATATTTAAGTACCTGAATAAAAGAATTGGGAATCTGCATAATAAATAAATAAAAACATTTTAAATGTTTAGAGATTAGAAAGTTTTACATGAAATTAAAGAAAATTGCACTTCAAATAATTAAAACAAAAAAATAGTGAAAAAAAAAAGGAAGCACTAAAATGAAAAACTGAGAAAAAAATAATCAAGCTCATGAATATAATTATGGGTTGTAACGAATAATATCAACAAGTTAAAAAACAAATTTAAAAAAACTTAGGAGAGAAATAAAAATTAATAATTCTGCTGAGGAAATTATTTTATTAATACCAACTTTCGAAATTAGTAATTAAGTTTGCCAATGGATAGCACAGTTAAAATCTATAGGACAATTTAAAATAACAATGTGAAGCTAAAAGAAGACAAAATAACAAGATGCCCTTGAAAATATTTAAGTTGGAAAAGCCTAAGATGCATAAAAAAAACATTGTTCTATAGCCTTCCAGTCAAGGACGCTAACTGTTGACAAAATTTGTAATTAATTTTGAAATGTGATAAGAATAAATGTGATAGTTTTCTCCGTAAAATTAAGCAAACTCTATACTTCCATCTCTTTCTGTTTCCCTCTAAAATTATTCTTTAAATAAAGGGTAATTCTTTTAGACACCAGGTATAAACTAAACTAAAAAAATTTCTGACTAAACAATTACTGTTTTTAATATCTATAAATTATGCACATAATGAATAAACTTTACTTTAAAAAAAAAATTATTTCATTAAAAAGAATGTTCAAATTATGCATATTGGTAATTAAAAATTTTTCTCATATCTTGGAATTTATCTTAAAGAAAGAGTCAATTTTTAGAATCAATAACAGGAAATAAATAGCAAAATGAAATGAAAAAAAATCTTTCGTGAAACTAAAATATACTTAAGAATTAAATAGATACGGTTAGAAAATAATAAAATACATTTTATTCTTCATAATTTACTGTACAAGGCCACATTTCTTACATAAAAATACACTCTCATTTGATATAGATTTTTGGTTTTTGAGTTTCAGCTTGACCCCAGCTTTCTTCATTTCATAAATTGTCCTTAGCAAACTATTGCTTAATCCATTTTCACTGGGAACATCTTCAAGTGATTCCAGTTCTTTAAAATAACTAAATTCTTGCATTGATAACTGTGTTATATCTGCACTACTACAGTTCTGAAATACACAAAGTTTATTGTTATAAGTAAAACAGATAATATATAAAAGCATTTGTAACTTACAAAAAATGAACTCTAAAATATATAGCTCTTACATTTATAGTAAACTTTTAATAATATATAAAAGCATGATGTAAAGTTGGTTATTGTTAATGGAAATTAATTATTGTAGAAGATGCATTATTAAGGAAAAACACTATAAAAACACATTTTTGGTTCAAAAAAAATTTTTTTTCAATAAAGCATCTTCAAAATTTCATTAAATGCTTTGATGGTCCTTCCTGGTGAGTACAAGATTCATTCTCTTCTTTTAAGGAATTTTAAAAAACTGATAAAGAAAAACTTTACCAAACTTTACATTTTTTAATAATATGAGTGGATAATAGGCAGTGTTCAATCTCTACAATATAAATATCTTAAAAATAAANTGGTTCAAAAAAAATTTTTTTTCAATAAAGCATCTTCAAAATTTCATGAAATGCTTTGATGGTCCTTCCTCTCTTCTTTTAAGGAATTTTAAAAAACTGATAAAGAAAAACTTTATCAAACTTTACATTTTTTAATAATATGAGTGGATAATAGGCAGTGTTCAATCTCTACAATATAAATATTTTAAAAAATAAACAAATGTTATCATTTCCAATAAAATAGGAAAACTTACTTTCAGAATTTCTCTCATAAGTCTTAAAATGATACATTTTCTTAACATTTAATTATTATTTTAATGATTAATCAACTTCACTCATTTTTAAATACCAATAATTTTAGAAAGTGAAAAACATTGATCATAAAACAAAATAAATACTTCAGAAAATTAACAAATTTCATTTCTTATAGAATATAAAAACTTACTTTCAGAATTGCTCTCATAAGTTTTAAAATGATACAATTTCTTAACATTTGATAATTTTAATGATTAACCTACTTACCTCCTTCTTAAATACCCAATAATTTTAGAAAGTGAAGCATAACATTATTTCATAACAACTTATATAACCCTGAAAGAATATGGTTTTCTAATTTTAAACTTTAAACTAAATTTTGAAATAAAAACCCATAAATAGTACCAAGTATAATAATACTATCACACTCTTAAAACAATATGAATTGTAGCTCCATACAATTTCCTTCCGCCCTTCCATGATCCAATAAGCAATCATAAAGGGACCAAAATATCATTTGCAGGATACCTCAAAAATTATCAACACGCTTGATATATATATATATATTTGAATGCATGTAAGCATTCAAAACTAATAATTCCATCTAACATAAAACAGTTTATTAGTCCAACCTCCTCGGAGGCAATGGCAACCAATTTTCCATCGAGAGTCTGTACTCCGGCAACATCAAGGAGTTAGCCGGCTGTGTTTTGCACACTCATGGATATCCATAGTTCTCCCCATGGACAGGATACCAACCAACCAACATAAAACAGGTTAAACTAGAAATTTAAAAGTATAAGACAAAGAAGTTATTTACAAATATTATTAGATCTATTATCAGAAATAAAATTCAAAAAGATATGCTTGATGTAGTATGATTAACAAAACAGCTGGGCATTTGGTTGATATTTTCACTTATAATTGAAGTTATTAAATTTTTAGAGCAATTTGACACATTTCTATTATTAAAATGAACAAAAAGAGCAAACGTGTGCAAGAGATGCTCAGTGCTTCCATCAAATATATTAAGCTTTCGCACCAGGTATGATTAGAATTTTATAACTTTCATGAAAAAAAAATTATTTTGTATAGACAAGATGTGCATTCTTTAATAAAAAAAATTAATAAATAAATATTAAATTAACTAAAGAAAAAAAAAAAGAAAAAATGACAAAACATTTGCTCGGTAGATTCTCGAAAAATATTAATAAAAAGTACTACTTGTAAATAAGAACATTTACATTAGGATTTTTATCATAAAATACTTTTACCTGACATGTTTGCAGTAATTTGCTATCATCTATAAAAACATTGGCTTTTTGCAAGATCTTCTGTAGCTCTAAAGAATTACCAGAATCACAGTTCACGCTATAACATACAACCTCAGAAGAGATATTTTTCACCTGAAAGGATAGTGAAAGGAATAATTATTTATATGAATAAAAATATAAAGAATTGAAACAATGTGTCATTTTTAAAATACTTTTTAGTTTAAAAAAAGGATGTATTTCTTTCAAAATTTTCAATTAAATTGTGCATCTAAAATTTTAAAATTATCAGAATTATATTCCAATCCATAACTCCAATCTTATTTTGACTCATGCATCAATACCAGATTTATTGAACATTTCTGCTTTAAGACATAAGCAATAAATGCAGTTCTGGTAATATAATGTTCTAGAGAAGACCAGGGACCACCCTGTGTTTTTCTGTGTTATATTTAATTATTATAATTTTAAAATAGTATTTTGAAACTGACTAAAAGAAACAGTCACCTTAACAACAATATTAAACAACAAGCAATGTCACATGATAAAGAACATTTGAAGTAAAAGAGAAGTTTTATTACAGAGATGAATTGACTAACAATTTTCATTTACTTACTTTTCTCTTAAAATCCTCAAAACAAATTAGGAATCTCCCTTGAGTTTTAGCAATCTAGAAATACAAAAATTATAATTAATTAAAATGTGTGGATGTAAGCTTTTTAAATTTCAAACTTAAAAGGCTTACTAAAATTTGAATTATCATCATAATATAATAAATCAAATAATCAAATAAAAAGTGGAAGTTTACAAGAAATAGCTTTAAAATACATAATTCATGAAACTACCAAAGACTTACAAAACAACAGCACCATTTACAATTGATAATAAAAAAATTGTCCAAGAAAAACTTTACAATGCTAACATAAAAATAAACAAAAATATTTTCTCACTCAAAATGTGACAAAGCTATCGAAGTTAAAATTCAAAATATTATGATGATAATGTAATAACACTAATAGTTCACTAATCATTGTTATTTATAAATTTCATAATTTATCATTAAAACGTTTTGCTATAAAATATTACTAAATTTATCCCCAAATAATTATTTATTGAAATGATAATTTGAAATACAAATTACTTTAGAATGTGAGATTTATTTTTATGTTTAAATGCAAGCAATATTATAACTGAAAAATAAAAATGCAAAAAAAACTTACTAAGGCAGCATCACTAGCTTTATCTGCAAACTGGAGAACTAGAACATTAGCTCCCATTTCTTTCAAACTTTTACTAATGAATTTTAACTGTGGTTGTACAACTACATGGAATTCATCAATAGGTATAGGTTTTTCATTCATACTTTTTGTAGATTTTTTTTCCTAGAAAAAAATTATAAATAAATAAAACTTAATACTTCATCTTTAATACTCTATTTTTACTTTCAACTCAAAAAATAAATCATTGATAACAGGGCTCGAAAAAACTCAGAAATTTTACCCGTCCCTGGGACTGCTTGTCCAACAATGTACCCATCCTCCTTTGAAACTAACCCGTAGCTTCTAAATAAATAAAAATATAATTTTCTCTTATTTATTACAAACATTTATATAAATTGGATCGTGAATTACTAATTACTACGACTACATTATACAGTAATAAAAGAAATACTAGGGTACTAATAGTAACCTAGTATTTCCTTTAGGAAATAATTTATTTCTTTTATGAAATAATTTAAATGACAAAAGTCAAGTTTTCTGGAATGTCAATTTATTTGGGGGTACTGCTTTTTTTAAATGAATCAAATATTACGTTTCCCAGTTCCACAATCAAGTCAATGATTTACTGAGGTTTCCGCACAGTTCATTTAGATAAATGTTCATAATTGCGTTTAACGCTTCTTGTTTAAGACCAGTACTTAATGTGTTTTTTTGTAAGTTCATTGCTGAAAAGCCCCTTTCAATCGCTGCAGTACTCCCAGACAGAGAAAATATCAATTCCATTTCAGGGTCATTTTAGAAGTGAGGAGCTAGACTCTTGTAAGAAAACACAAATTGAAAATGTATCACGAACATTAACGGGAAAATGGCCGTCCACGTGGGCGTCGGATTCGAGAAATTTGTTGTCCACAGGGAATTTTTGACCACGGAGGACGGGCTGTTTTTCGAGACCTGATTTATAACATCGCCTTTGGTGAGTTCTGACTGCAACATGAGGTTGTAGATGTCTTTTAGAGGTCATCAAAAAGATTTCTCAAACTAAGAACTTCACACAAATATTTTGAATACATTTTAATCTACTTATTTGTTTTGTTAATATTTTATTCTGATATTTTTTGAATTTCATCGAATTTGATCATTTCCACATTTCGTGCACAGATCTGCTTGGTAGCTGGGAGAGGTTTTGATGGTCCTAAAAGTTTCTTCAACACAAAGTGTATGAAAAAAATACTGTGCCTTCTAAAAGTGGTCGTAAATAGAGGAAATTGCTACATAGCGGTAGTCTTTCCTAGAGGTTTCACCAAATCACCTTAATTGCTTCTTAAACCATGCATGAAAAAGGAGGTCTTACTAATTATTCATAAAACTCTTGAATTTTGCATGAAATATTTTAAAAAGATTTGCTTATAGTCTGCATAATTAACTAATTTTCCTAATCTAAAGTAAAGATGACTGCGAATATCCCATAGTCTATTTTGGCCTAACTTCCAGTATAAGCAAATAAAATATTATACTGCCAAAGCAATATTTTTTTTAAAAAAAGAAGCTGAAGATTACACTGAGGAAGAAATGTTTTGTAGCACTTATACAAGTACTAATTCTTACCTAATTCAGATATGGGGATTTTTAAGCTACAGTTTTTAAATGGCATTTTAGTAGATTATTTGTCGATATGTACAAGTTGAAAAACGCTATATATAACAATAGGTCATACAAACGTTCTGGCAAACTTCTTGCTTAGTTAAGGCACTTCATCAAGAATAAAATTGCATAGGAACTCACGCTTGAAAATGTCATCATACACCACTATGGCACTTCTCAATAATGACCTGTTCATCTATTACTTCATAATGAGTAGGCTCTTCTAGCCCAGTATCAAAATAATTCCAGGCAAGGGTTTCTATATAGATTTAATCCTGATTATGTAACTTAACTACTTTAGAAGTTTTCCATGACGTGAGACATATGCTATATATATAACGTCTTTAAACTCTCACATTTCGACAAAGTTGTAATTGTAAAAAAAAAATTTCTTGGAGAGCGAAACCGATAGCAAATTTGAAATTGATGATGCAAAAGTATCTAAGATCTGTTAAAAAGTCTCATGCGACAGAAGGCAAAAAAAAAATATGTTCCCCAGTGTTATCAGTAAAATTTGCATTTTTAAATTATACAAAATTTCAAGTTGAATAAGCAATTGAAAATCTTTAATTAATATTTATAAGCAATTTTAAGGTTGAATTTCAATAAAAATCAAAATACAACAAAAAGGGGGGGTTCACGATTATGTAAAAGTAAATTAAAAACGTTAAATTTTTTATTGTCTTGAAGTAAAATAATTACTATTTGATTCCCATACTAGCAACTTCCGCTGTAAAAAGCTTTTTTTCAGAAAGACTGTTCACTGTGGAAAGTATAACTTATCAAAAACATGGTCTATTTCTGCTGCATTTGCCATATTTTAGGAGAAGAAATATTTAATTAACAAATACATTAACTTTAAATTCAAAGCAAAGTTTAAAAACTATACAAAGTTTGAAAACAACAACAAAAGCAATCACAAATTAACTACTTAGTAAACAGATATAAATCTGAAATATTTAAAGGAAATAACATACTTCTTTCAACTTTCTCTTTACTTTGCTGTGACCAGATGTCATAACCATTGCAACTTTAACCAAGTGATTAAAATTCATATTTTTTTCTGATGAAACATTTTTAATTTCGTCAAATATCTGTAACAAACAGTGTGCATCTAAAGCTGTTCAAAAAAAAAGTATTTTAAATTAAATCTAATGATCAAATAAAAGCATAAATACATTAATTTTTATTTCTGATATTTTTAATAGTACATTAAATATTTTAAAAATGATATTAAATGCAGTTCCTTTTTATAATTAACAAATTATAAAAGTAACATAAGCAACTGTAGAAAGAGATTCAAAATCAAATGGATTAACATACCGTACATTTCAAATTTTTATTTATTTTTTTAATCAAACTTTAATTAAACCTTTTTATTAAAATTAATAATTTTTTAAAAAAAAAATTATATTATTAAATTATAAAACTTTTAAAGAAAATAAAGTCAAGAAATAATAAATTACTAGTTTATGCAAATTTCATTTAATTTGAGCAAAAACAATAAGAAACAACATTTTATTTCAATGAACATCATAGAAAAAAAAAACACTGTTTGAAAAGTTTTAAAACTCTTGACATCATAATTTTATCAAGACAGAACACTAGAGCATCAGGAATCTTTGTGTTCCAACAGATCATTAAAATAAACAATTCAATAATAAACAAATAATAAATAAATAAATAATCATTTTACTTTATTTGGATAAAGATTTCCCAATGTAGAAATAATTAGGAATGTGACTATAGCACATTATTAGTCTGATAAAGCATAACTACTAAACAATATAATTAATAAAATAAAAGTTTAAGAATTGGAGCAGACTATAAATCTTATCTGTCAATAAATTTCTTAAAATCAATTAATTATATAGTTGCAAATTAAATTATTATTGAATATGATGTACTTGATACACAATGAAAATTCATATAATTATGGAGACACATTGAACTTTGAAGAAGTCACATGGAAGAAATAATAGCAGTACGAATTTGATGCATAATAAAGATTCCTACAATTATGGAGACATGTAGAAGTTTTGTCTGTTTTATCTCTCTGTCTTATGCTACATGATCCCAATGAGTCTTATGGAAAAAGCTACAATAATATGCGATCAATACATAATGAAGACTCGTATAACAATGAAGACACAAAGTTTTCAAGTTTTGCTTGTTCAATTAATTCTCAAGCAAGCAATGAGCTGAGTAAAAAAAATATATCTATATTTTGAAAGAGATTTTTTTCAGAAACGTTTCCAATTTGAGATAGTTTCATTAACAGAAAACAAACTTTTTATTCTTACTATCTCAAATTGGAAACGTTTCTGAAAAAAATCTCTTTCGAAATATAGATATATTTTTCAGAAACGTTTCCGATTTGAGACAGTAATAATAAAAAGTTTGTTTTCTGTTAATGAAAATATAAAAATGAAATGAGATAAAAAATTTAAAAAATATTGCAGTAAATTTTTTTTTTAAATATGAAAACTTTGTAAACTATATATAATCTAGCTGCCATTTCGTGACCAGCTTGGTCACCTTTCAAAATTATACTGTACAACAGATACACTTCAATAGTAATTAAGCCTTTTACACAACACAACTGTATTTAAATATTCTAATTCATCAACCCCTGATTAAATCCTAACACTTTAATCAATTTTAAACAATATATTAACCAAATTTTTTCACCATCTAGCTCTTGCCCACGACTTTGCCAGCATGGAAGCACCTTGATTACAATTTTAACTATTTTAAAGCAGGGTTTGTTGATTTAAATCAGCTTGATTTAAATCACGATTTAAATCATGATTTAAATCAACTAATTTTTTTATATATATATATTGATTATAAAAGTTAAAAAACAGTGTTTTAAATTATTGATACTTTTATTATTTTCTTTTCTTAGTTTCAAAATTTATTTTAAATAAATTTTTGCATTAATTAATTTTAATTGTTGCATTAATTAATATAGACTTGCATAGCTGTAGAAAGTAATTATTAAACATGAATTTTTTCAAAAAATAATTTAAATATTGTTAATTAAAATTCTACCCTTTGAAAGAAAAAGCATGGAATTAGAATCTACATTATATTTTATTGGTAGAAAATGTATATTTCTGAAGCTTTTTTAAAAGCATATTAAAAAGAAAATACCTAATTTGCCAAAAATAGAAAGAAAAAAAAAGGCCAATAAATTTAGATATTTTTTTCCTGATATAGTGTCATTCTTCCCTTGCAAACTCCTTCAAAGTCTATTTGAAACAGTAGGGTTATTAACTGGTATTTTTTCTCATAATATGTTTACAGTATCTTTGACATCTGATTTTCTATAAAGAAATTTTGTGAAAAAAAATTCCTATGAGTACATAGATTTTAAAAAAAAGTTATTTTTAGCTTAACTTATCGATTTTGATATAGAATTAAAAGTGAATATTTTAATATAAAAATATATGGATTAAATATTTATTTTTTGATGAATAACTACATTTATAAACACAATCTGTTACATTTATTTTGTCATTTTAAAAATCAAGCGGAAAAAAAAAGAAATTTTAAATTAAAATTATGGTTTGCTAATTGAAACTTCGATTTAATAGTTAAAGTCAGGGGTCTGTCCAAGTGAAATTTACTACCGTTTACCGGTACCTACACAAATTTAACTTTAGGAAAAACGGTAGAACAATTCCACAAAATACTTTTTTCTCAAAATTTTATTTTTGTGTCCAAATTTTCCAAATCCAAATTTTTAATTTTCAAAAATTATGTCTACATTTTCACAAAATAATTATCTCTCAGAAAAACCTAACCCATAAAGTATTCTTTAAATTTTCTATTTGAACTAGTCCTTAAATTTCAATCATGCATTTGTTTCAAAATGGTTGCTATGCATTCAAAGCTATGTATTATAATGAAAAATTATTTTAGTAAGTTAAAATATTGTTCTAAATATTGTTATAATATAGTTTTAATATTAATTTAATTTCGATTAAGCACTTATAAAGTTTTGTTAATCATATATTAAAGTTCTTACAGTGTATTTGAATAAAAATCAAAAAAATCTGATTTAAATCAAAAAAATCACAAACCCTGTTTTAAAGAGATGTCTGCGATGTCGTCTTATGTTGAATTTTAGTTTTAATTTAAAATCAGTTTGACAGCATTTGAATCACACAAACCACCATAAGTAAGAGTTTGGGCCATTTTAGCATTTAAAAAGCAAATTCCTTTACCAATAAAGGGTATGCCAGTATGGGCCACCATAGAATTGTTTATGTTTAAAATTCCTATAGCCATTTTAGAAAAGAACAAAAATAAATCTAACTAATTACATTATAACTAAAATTCTATTTTTAAAAAATCACAAAATTATTCCAAATAAATACTTAATGTATAACTAACTAATGACACTACTTTAATTATTACTCGAGACAAACAAAGACAACTATTCTAAAAAAAAATATTTAACATCCAAATTATTTCAAAACTTTAATTAAATTACTAAAGGCAACTCAACAAAATGAATAATAACTATGGTGTTGCCAATAGATAGAGAAATAATCGTGTTTATGGTGAAACATAAAAGAAATAAATACATACATAGATTATGAGACTCATGCTAATTTTATAAAACAGCAAATTATGGACCTGCATATTCAAGTTGAGAATCTGTAAGAGGGCGTTTCTCCCAATCACAAAGACGCTCTTCTTTGCTGAGTGGTTTACCCAAAATGACTTTACAAAGTTGACTTAACCCTATTGGATGCTTGATGCCTTCCTCTGTACTCATTTCAACAGGATATACCTCTTGTAGCTGCGAAAAATAAAGTTTTTAAACAAACAAAATTTTAAAAGATATAAGTTAGAATCACCATTATGACAGACTATATAAAGCAACTAATAAACCTTTTGAGGCTAAATATTTTCATAAGAAACAATACAGATAAGGAAATTTGCTTTGCTATGTGTAATAGGGTCTACAAAATTTTTCGCCAGGGGTGCATCTAAAAACTTATAATTTGGAATATTTTTTAAGTATATTTTTATACAAAAAAAGCTCAATAATTCATTTAATGCTTTCAATCCAATATTCCAAGCCAAAAATTTACATTTTTAACATTTAAATTTTGAAAATTAAAAAAAACATAAAAAAATATTTTTAATAAATTTAATTGAGCTACAAACACACTAAAGAGCAGAATTCTCAGAGTTTAACTTTTATTTAACACTGTATTAATTTTTTTTGAGGGATCGCACTATGCAAATTGGTTCCTCAATTTACATTTCCTCCGCAATTCCAATTGGTGAATCATTATTAAAAAAACACAGTAATTGTACTTAGTTTACAATTGTGAATATGTTCACTGCACCTCAGAATTAAAACAAAATAAAAAAAAATTTTAATCTCAAACAAAAAACTATTAAAATTTAAAAATCATGTATAATTTTTAATTTATTAACTTTCTAGGGGGTACAAAATTTTAAACGCACTTTTGTGACTCCAATCCAAACACACCTGTCTGTGTGCATTTGACAAGCCTTCATGCATTGAAACAAACTAATCAGCAAATAATAGATTTATAAATAAAGTAGGGCAAAAAAAGTGAAACAAAATAGTAAAATAAAATAGGATTTAAAATGTAAAAATAAAAAATAGGATTTAAAATGTAAAGATTTTAACAAAAATCTTTTTTTTCTTTTTTGCAAGATTTGAGTTTAAAACTATAGAAAATGAGAAGAACTGCTTCCATGCTTAAATTTCTAACAGTATTGAAATGCTAATTATATTAGGTATTTTATGAGCCAAGAGGGCTTAAGAGTTCACTTCCAAATAAAGCGAGCATGTTCAAATCCAAAGGACATCTGGTCAATTTGTATGCTACTTCCAGGTTGATCAAATTACTGTTATATTACCAATAGTAGATAAATCATAGGCTAGAAACCCTTTGTCTTTGGTCTAATCAGAGAAGGTTTTCCTCACAATGTAACGCAAATCAAATGCAAGTAAGTTCCATTAAAAAAATCTTTCATTGAGATAAGTTTGCACAGATGCTTGATCTAGGAGTTTCCATATATTTTGGGGTTGTTTACAAGATATGAAGTTAATTATTAATAGAAACAAATCCAATGTGAGTTAGCTGTTCAAAGTTAGTTAAAATAAAATATAAAATAATTCTGAGTTAACAAAGTTGTCTTAATTTATATCAAATGTAAGTAAGCTCCATTAAAAAAATCTTTCATAGAGATAAGTTTGCACAGATGCTTGATCTAGGAGTTTCCATATATTTTGGGGTTGTTTACAAGATATGAAGTTAATTATTAATAGAAATAAATCCAATGTGAGTTAGCTGTTCAAAGTTAGTTAAAATAAAATATAAAATAATTCTGAGTTAACAAAGTTGTCTTAATTTATATCAAATGTAAGTAAGCTCCATTAAAAAAATCTTTCATAGAGATAAGTTTGCACAGATGCTTGATCTAGGAGTTTCCATATATTTTGGGGTTGTTTACAAGATATGAAGTTAATTATTAATAGAAATAAATCCAATGTGAGTTAGCTGTTCAAAGTTAGTTAAAATAAAATATAAAATAATTCTGAGTTAACAAAGTTGTCTTAATTTATATCAAATGTAAGTAAGCTCCATTAAAAAAATCTTTCATAGAGATAAGTTTGCACAGATGCTTGATCTAGGAGTTTCCATATATTTTGGGGTTGTTTACAAGATATGAAGTTAATTATTAATAGAAATAAATCCAATGTGAGTTAGCTGTTCAAAGTTAGTTAAAATAAAATATAAAATAATTCTGAGTTAACAAAGTTGTCTTAATTTATATCAAATGTAAGTAAGCTCCATTAAAAAAATCTTTCATAGAGATAAGTTTGCACAGATGCTTGATCTAGGAGTTTCCATATATTTTGGGGTTGTTTACAAGATATGAAGTTAATTATTAATAGAAATAAATCCAATGTGAGTTAGCTGTTCAAAGTTAGTTAAAATAAAATATAAAATAATTCTGAGTTAACAAAGTTGTCTTAATTTATATCAAATGTAAGTAAGCTCCATTAAAAAAATCTTTCATAGAGATAAGTTTGCACAGATGCTTGATCTAGGAGTTTCCATATATTTTGGGGTTGTTTACAAGATATGAAGTTAATTATTAATAGAAATAAATCCAATGTGAGTTAGCTGTTCAAAGTTAGTTAAAATAAAATATAAAATAATTCTGAGTTAACAAAGTTGTCTTAATTTATATCAAATGTAAGTAAGCTCCATTAAAAAAATCTTTCATAGAGATAAGTTTGCACAGATGCTTGATCTAGGAGTTTCCATATATTTTGGGGTTGTTTACAAGATATGAAGTTAATTATTAATAGAAATAAATCCAATGTGAGTTAGCTGTTCAAAGTTAGTTAAAATAAAATATAAAATAATTCTGAGTTAACAAAGTTGTCTTAATTTATATCAAATGTAAGTAAGCTCCATTAAAAAAATCTTTCATAGAGATAAGTTTGCACAGATGCTTGATCTAGGAGTTTCCATATATTTTGGGGTTGTTTACAAGATATGAAGTTAATTATTAATAGAAATAAATCCAATGTGAGTTAGCTGTTCAAAGTTAGTTAAAATAAAATATAAAATAATTCTGAGTTAACAAAGTTGTCTTAATTTATATCAAATGTAAGTAAGCTCCATTAAAAAAATCTTTCATAGAGATAAGTTTGCACAGATGCTTGATCTAGGAGTTTCCATATATTTTGGGGTTGTTTACAAGATATGAAGTTAATTATTAATAGAAATAAATCCAATGTGAGTTAGCTGTTCAAAGTTAGTTAAAATANAAATTTTTTCACCATCTAGCTCTTGCCCACGACTTTGCCAGCATGGAAGCACCTTGATTACAATGTTATTTATCTTAAAGCCATGTCTATGTCTTCTTATATTAAATTTTAGCATTGAAAAAGCAAATTCCGTCACCAATAATGGGTATGCCAGCATGGGGCACCATAGTATTGTTTATGTTTAAAATTCCTATAGCCATTTTAGAAAGGATCAAAAATAAATCTAATTACATTATAACTAAGATTTAATTTTTCAAAAAGCATAAAATTATTCTAAATAAATACTTAATTTATAACTAGGAACACTAACTTAAATTACTACTTGAGACATACAAACGCAATTATTCTAAATAAATATTTAATGTACAACTAATTTTTTTACTTAAGGCAACTCAGCAAAATGAATAATAACTATAGCGTTGCCAATAGATTGAGAAATAATCAAGTATATGGTGCCACATAAACAAAAAAATACATACATGGATTATGAAATTCATATTGATTTTATAAAATTGTAAATTATGCACCTGCATATTCAAGCTGAGAATCTGAAAGAGGACGTTTCTCCCAATCACAAAGACGCTCTTCTTTGCTGAGTGGTTTACCTAAAATGACTTTGCAAAGTTGACTCAACCCTATTGGATGTTTGATGTTTTCCTCTGTACTCATTTCAACAGGATATACCTCTTGTAGCTGGGAAAAATAAAGTTTTTAAACAAACAATGTTTTAAAAGATCACCATTATAATTACTATTATGACAGACTGTATAAAGCAACTAATAAACCTTTTGAGGCTAAATGTTTACATTAGGAAAACTACAGATAAGCAAATTTGCTTTGCCGTGTGTAAGAGAGTCTACAAAATTTTTGCCAGGGGTGCATCTAAAAACTTATAATTTGAAATATTTTTTAAGTATATTATTATAAAAAAATACATAACTCAATAATTCATTTAATGCCTCCAATCCAATATTCCTAGCCTAAAATTTACATTTTTAAGATTTAAAAATTAAGAAAAACATAGAATAATGCTTTTTTATAAATTTAATTTAGCTATAAACACACTAAAAAGCAGAATTCTCTGAGCTTAATTATTTTTTTAACTGTGTATTAATTTTTTTAGAGGGCAAATGCAAATTGATTCCTCAATTTGCATTCGCTCTGCAATTGCAATTGGTGAATCATTATTAAATTTAAAAACATAGTCATTGTGCTCAGTTTCTAATTGTGAATTGATTCAATACACCTCAGAATTAAAACAAATTAAAAAAAATTACTATCTCAAACAAAAAACTATTAACATTTAAAAAATTATACATAATTTTTAATTTATTTGATTTCTATGGGATTCAAAATTGCAAATGCACTTTCTTGAATCCTTTCCAGGTGCACTTGTCTGTGGGTATTTGAAAAACATGTATGCATTGAAACAAATGAACTAATCAACAAATTATAGATTTATAAATAAAGTAGGGTTAAATAAAGTACAAGGGTAAAAAAAAGTAAAATAGAATAGTAAAATGAAGTAAGATTTAAAATGTAAAGAATATAGAGATTTTTTACAAAAATCTCTCCTTTTTTCTTTCTTTTTTGAACAATTTAAGTTTAAAACTGCAGAAAACGAGAAACATTAAAATTGATGCAATGCATTCAGACTAAAATTGCTAAAGGTACTTAAATGCAAATAACATTAGGTTATTTTGCGAGCCAAGAGGGCTTAAAGAGTTCAGCGTTCACTTACAAATAGGGCGACCAATATTCAAATCCCAAGGGCAGCCAGTCTATTTGTATGCTACTTCTAGACTACTAAAATATCACCAATGGTAGATAAATCATAGGCTAGAAACCCTTCGACTTTGGTCTAATTAGAGAAGGTTTTCATGGTTCTCCTCACAATGTAACTCAAATCAAACGCAGGTAAGTTCCATTAAAAAAATCTTTCATGAAGATAAATTTGCACTGATGCTTGATCCAGGAGTTTCCCAGTATTTTGGGCTTATTTACAAGCAACAGATTTAATTATTAATAGAAAACAAATTTGATGTGAAGCAGCTGTTCAAAGTTGTTTAAAATAAAGTAATAAATAACTCTAACAAAGAATTAACAAATTTGTCGCAATTGCATCATCTATGATAAGCTAAATGTCAATCAAACCAAGGGTGAATTAGAAAATGTTTGTATGAATACCTTCTTTTTTTCAAGCAAGATTAAAGCAGTTGTACTAAATGCATAAAATTGATACTGCTTTGAGAAATGACAGCCCAGATTTGTTAATTTACTTAGCCAGTATCAACCACAATTTTAATTACTCATAGTTAAGGCAAAAAAAAAGCTTTTTTTTTTGTTCAAGTATAATAACATTAAAATATACTTAATGTGCTAATAAGAATAGTACAAGAATTAAAACATGAGTATTATAATAGACCAAGATGTTATGTAATTTTAAAAGTGTTTACATACTTTTTCAAAAAATATAGCCATGTCAAGTATATGAGTAAACCTTAAAAGCCTGTCTTTACTTCCTCTGTTATTATTAACAATCATCTGAATATCTGTCAACAAATTACAACCTAAAAAATGTTTTAAAAACATTTAACAATAACACAATTGTACAAATATTCAAAAATGTATTATAAACAAATCAATTTAGGCTCTGAAAATGTATATTGTAATGTCCAATCTTTCAATAAAATATATTTAAGATGGAAAAGAAATGCTTACAAAATGTTTTCTATCTACTTTTTTTCTCTTATAATCACATACTTTAAATTAATATACACTTTAAATGCATTAGTATAAAGTACTATACATTCGAAATACAGCTTTTCATGAATTAAAATGTTTTTTCTAGTTTTTTTTTATATCTTAGGATACACATGGAAAAAAAAATTAAGATCAAATTTTTATTATTAATATGAAACTATAATTAATCAAACCATCAATTAACTATAATAGAATTTTTTTTATTAATATGTAAATTTAAAATTTTAAAATTTATCCTTTAGACTTCAATATTTTGAATACATTTAGTAATTTTAAACGAATCTTATACAAAATTAAATATAAGGGAAATAGGTATTATAAATAAATCCCTTACCTAATTTAATAATCTTTTGATTACTGAAGACATCATCCATCAACTTATCCCAATCTTTAGCCTCCAAGCATTTATTCAAAGATAACATGTCTAATATGTACACTTTATCATGAACAGCCAACTGTATTAGAGCAAGTCTGAAATTAAAATAACAACTTAAGAACTTTATATTTCTAAAAAGGGGGGTTAAACCCAACAGTGTTAAGAAACAATAAGCCTATTAGAAGTCATGGTTCTTTAGCTAAGACTATGGAACATTTCTCTGAGTAACAGGGGAATTTCTTTAGTACTATGTCATTAGTACTATTTAGAACTATGTCATTATCATTTCCCTGGAACATTAAGAAGCTACTTTCAAAACATTTTTTGGGAAATCTCTTTAGTACTAAGTCAAAATGGGTTTTGTACTCAGTTATATAATGTAAAAAAAAAAATTTAAAAATTGCAATTTTGTATTTGATTCTTAAAAAGACTAATGAAATAATCAACTTATAGAAACAAAGTTTGGTGGAAGCAAAATATTTTAAATAAAAACAATGTTAAAGATCTCTATTTAAAAATAATTTTCTGGTGTCTTTCATCACTCAATAGCATAAAGAGCACATAATAAAATAAAAATATTTTGTTAAAAAAAGAATTTAATAACTAAACATAAATGAATTTCCGATTTCCCCATATGAAGATAAGAATACAAAGTGTAGTTGCTTGAATATTGATCCCTAATTCCACGGATTGTTCCAAAAGTTTCTTGATTATTTGACATACAGACAGTCCAAAGCTACCAACAACAACAGAATTGCATATTTTAATTCTGCATAGAAAAGAACTCAATATAGATGCATAGAACAATTAATGCATAGAAATGAAACAGAAATATTTATAAGAACTCAATATAAAAAAGATCTCAAAAATATGTCAAGCAAGTCCATTCCAAAGCAATCCTCAATAACTGAAATCATTGAAAAGAAATAAAATATTCATACATATATTATTACCTTATTAAAAAATTCATTGACTTTAAAAATACATAAAAAGTAAAAAACAGTTGACATATTTCAAGCGTTTCAAAAACAGATGCCCATTTTCAAGACTTGCCAGACAATGAGATGAAAGGAAACAAAAATGATTTAAAATGTAAGATGTAAAGCTGCCAATGGAAAATGGAAAAGTAAAGATGAGAAACAAAACTAACAAACCAAAGAAGTTCGAAGAGAAAAACAGAACAAGAAAAACCACAGTGGTCGAGAGGGGCAATTCAGGGTAAATTGCATTTTCATGTGCTATGGAGAGGTGGCGAGGAACTAATGTTGTTATATATATGAATAAAACAAGATTACAGAAAATCAAGATGAGCTGATGTGACTAAGGTGGGAATAATTATAGCATTGTCGAAATTGAATTTACGCTCATAATTCCAACAATGTGCAACAATTGATAATTTGATAACATGATAGATATGTCCGTTATCAAGAATTTGAAAAATTATCAATTGTTGAACATTGTTGGAATTATGAGCGTAAATTCAATTTCGACAATGCTATAATTAATCCCACCCCAGTCACATCAGCTCACTTTGATGCCCTGGAATCTTCTTTTATTCATATGAAAGTTTTTCTTCGGATGTTTATTTTTCTCTTTTACATTGGCAACTTTATGTTTTATATTTCTATTCAGTCTTGTTTCTTCTCATTCCTGCCTGGCAAGTCTTGAAAATGGGTGCCTATTTTTGTAAAGCTTGGAACATGTTAGCTGTTATTTACTTTTTATGTATTTTTGAAGCGCATAAAGTTTTTAATCAGGTAATGTCTTACTGTTTCAGTTTCTTAGAATAATTTATTTAATCATACATACATTTTCAGCAGTATTTGGTCATTTCAGTTTTAAATGGCCCCATATTTAATGATGTGACATGATTAATTATAAAACGGTATATAAAAGCATTAATTAATATACAAGCTAAATCAAATTTGCCTTTCATTGAAAATGAATAGATAGATAGATAGATATGGTCATTTTATGTGTGAGTGTATGCAGTGTTTTCACTACAGCGCGAGAACGCGAGAATCTCGCATATTTTTTTATATTCTCGCATTAAAAAATTATTACCGCGAGAAATTCGTGCATTTTATAAACCAATTTCATAATTCGCGAATTTCTCGCATTTTGAAAAAAATTTCTCATTTGCGCCATTTAGAATAAAATCCGTTTCACTTTTCTTCCTGGATCTTCTTCCCTATTTACCAGTATTGTTCAGAACCTTTAAGAACAACAGAACACTATCCTTCCGAACCACGGAACCTCTTTCAGAACGCATTTCTCTGCAACCACGTGTTTACCGTAGGTAAGGTTTCTTCATGTAAGACGTTCAAATTTCTTNTAATTAAAATGACATGAGAATCACAAAATAAAAAAATTTATATCAGTGAAATAAAATAATAAATCATCATAAATACTGAAGTTTTACTACAAACCCACTAGCCACAATCTGATATTTTATTTAAATTTTACTACTAATTTTATATTTAAAAGTTTTTTCCTGGCTGCACTGTTCTGCACTACTATATCAATACCAAATTGTATAGTTTCTTTTTCTCAAGTCCTTGCCTTCATTTTTCTGTTTTGGATATTAGTTTTAAGATGGCTTCTTTTTGAAAAAAATAGTATAAAAAAATTCTTTCATTTCCTCCGAATTTCATTTACTTGATCAAGTAAAAAAAACTAATACACTTCCTTAAATTAGAGGAAGTTTTTTTTTCAAGAGTCAAAAAAAAATTTCAGCTACTTTTTATCTTTTTTCAAAAAAAATTTTAAATAATTTTATTTTTTAAAATTTATATTTATATTTAAGATTGTTCATAACAAAGTTGAAAATCTTTTGACACGGTCGTAGCTTATGTAATATTGCCTTAAAAATTTTATAACTGAAATTAAATAGATACTATCACACTTTAAACTTAAAATATATAAATAATAAGAGCACAGATAATAAGAATACGAGTGCCAGCTTCCTCCCCGATACACATAATAAATACACAAAAATAAGAGACATTAAGAAAAATCAAGACCTTTGATATATCTGCAATACATTCAAGATAACAGCTTCTTGATTGAATAAATTTTATGTCAGAGGAAGACAAGCTGAAAGTCAAATTAGCATCAGATTTTTCAGTTTCATCTTCTGTTTCAAGTTCATCCAGCTCAGCATCCGAACTGAAAATAAGAATATGAGAAACATACTATGCAGCAAATAAAGTCATGGAAGAATATATTTAAATTGAATATCACAGCAGGTAAAAATTAAATTACCTCTTATTAAGAGATGACAGAACAGCAACAGCATCAAGATCAAAATCATGCACTCTTAATTTCTCTTTCATTTCAACTGCAGTTTCTTTATTCCCGTAATGCATAAGTTTGATTAATAAATGCTCTTTCAGACCTTGATCATCTCCAACTATTTTCTATAACATACAAAAAAACTCATAAAGAATCAACTAAAATATTTAATAACAATGGGTTATAAATAAAATATTTAATAACAATGGGTTAAAACTGGTTTTAAATAAACATTTTACAACAACGTTTTTAAATAATTTATGAAAAAAATACAGTTGACTTTAATTGAGGGTATGAGAAATTTTGTTACTAAAAAATTCCAAAATATTAAATAACAATTGGTTATAACTGGTTTTAAATAAAAAATTCACTACAACATTTTTAAATAATTTATACAAAAAAATTCAGTCGACCTTACTTGATGGCATGAAAAATGTCTGGCAATGGAATATTCTGTACACAAACATAAGGAAATATTCAACTATAAGGAAATATTCTTCTCATAGAAATAAAATTTAGTGGTACTTATTTATTTTAAATAAAATAAAGCTAAATTTTCCCCTTCAAGCAAATAGCAAAAAACTCCCTATAAGACGGAAATAGTTGGTAAACTCACTTCACTGCATTTTTATCATCATTTGGTCACTTTACTGCAGATTGATAATTACTAATTGCAGACAACAAAAAAATAAAAAACTTATAACTTTACAAAGGGAAATTACAGTTTCAGTTTAATTCTAATAAAAATGTAATTCAATTAATGTAGCATATAAAGTTTAATGAAAACTTAAAATACTCAGAAAATACTGGTTTCTACTGAAAATAATACATTTAATTATTATTAAAAAAATTATTTTTGGAGACATTAAAAAAGGGTTACATCTTAATAAAAGATATAATTAGAAGTAACAATAATATAAATTTTAATCGGTTGAAAATTCACTGTGAATATTTCTGAAACCAGACTCTATAATTGTCCAAAAGACACAGTAGGAAATTTTAATGTCAGCTAAAATTAAAAGCAATATTCATAAGCACAAATAAAATCACTTGTGTTAATTAACATTGTTTTGCAAATTTATTTACACAAATTTAACCTCTCTTTTTTATTACTACTATATACTAATTTTACTACTAATACTTATACTATGTTATTCAATAGAAGAACTTAAGCATTCTCATAAAGCAGAAAATGAATTCAACTTCCTTTATGTTAACAAGACAATTAGACGAGGACACAATTTCTTTATTCACACAATGACTAAATAATATTCTGACTTATTCAATCTGTAATTACTAAATTCAGCAAAATGTGATGTATTGATAATTTTAAATGTAAGGTTATAATAAATTTTTAAAGCTTACATTTTAATTTTGTACACATTTTTAAAGCTTAGTCAGAAAAAAGCAATAAAATACAAACATGAATTTTAGAATTTGGAAACAAGAGCATATTTTATGAAATAAAATGAAACAAAAATATTCAAAAATATAAATTGGATATGGTATAAATTAGAACGCAATTCAATGAATAAAGTGAAATAAAAATATCTATAAATATCATTAAGTTGCTTAATATATAAGGAAATTGCATACATACAATTTTCAATTAGTAAAAATGGAAGTAGATTTTTGATCTTATTATTAAAGATGACCTTCAAATGAATCACTTAAGTATGTAATACAAATTATTTAAGCAGCAAATACTTAATAAGAATAAACATTTAAAAAATTCTATATAAAAGATATTGCAGTGAAAAAAACAATGCATGAATAAATGGTTCAAAAAACAAATGTAATTACAAAAAAATATAAATATTCGTTAAAAAAAACATAAATATAAATATTAAATAAAAATATAATATGGGAACAGTGTTCAAACTAACTGATAAATGGCCAAAAAAATATGTTCTAAAAAGGCTAACATACCATCACCATATCTTCCCATGTTGCTTCAGAGATTGATTTCTGGAAATAAAAATCATGATGATTTAAAATTGGTAATTAATACACTAAAATTAGAATCTCAAAAAAAAAACCTTCCAAACAAGCAAATGAGGCATTGTTTTCAATGTATTTTTCACACTGATATAAATTAGACCATTCCAAGATGATGGGACCAAGTTTAGAAATTACAAAAGTTTAATGAACAAAAAGTACAATTTATACTTGTACTTAGTTATGTATCTAACATTGTAATGCAAGCAAGTGCAACATTGTTTTCAATAAATTTTTTCATGTCAAACTTAATGAAAGAACAATAGAGTATAGAACAACTAATTCAAAAGCTGCAGGCATTATTATGTATAAAAAGTATTGCTTTTGGCATGTCTTATGCACACTTTCTACTTGACTATCTAGGGACTCCCTGAGCATGTAAGGTACATTTTCCGATAAAAATTTTACAGTGAATTGAATGAAATAAATTTCGAGTTGATAAGATTAATAGTTTTAAAGTTATAAGGGTTTTCTTCATAATGAGTTTTTATACAAAAAATAAAATTCAACTTTTAAAATAGTGGAATTTTAGTTGTGTGCTTGGTTTCATTCGAGGAAAAATGTAAGATATGTAAATAAGTGTTATATTTATAATTATAATTTTATGTATTGAAAATATTTATAAATTCTTTAATATTTATCTTATTGATTTCTATTTTATGTAATTTAATTCAACATGAAAAGTTACCTTGAAAATCATATCAACGCATTCATATAATCCTAAGATAGCAATATAAAGTGTGTACATAAGTACATATCACATGAAATAAAACATAAAAAGTCCTGCAACCTTTAAATTATTTGTTATATTGGCTTTTGCACAGTCTCATTCAATTTGGCACCAAAAAAAATATATTAAGAAACAATGTTTTGTTTGGTTAGATAGCATTTTAAGATGTATAAGCAGGTACAAGTACAAAATTGTACTATTGGTACATGCATTGTAGAGATTGGTTGCATTTAATTCAGAGTGAAAAAATACATTGGAAACAATGCCTGTTTAAAAGAAATTCAATATTCTTCCTAAAAATTGATGAAAGCGAGCAGAAGAAAGTTAGGGAGTTATTAGGGATTATTTACATTAACATATCAAAGCTTTCGATGGGGAAAAAAACTAGAATATTAATTTTTCTAAAGAAAAAGTCTTATTTTACTGGGCTATTAATGCTGAGTTGGATAAAGTTCAGCATACATAGAGATTCAATAACTCATAGCATTTCTGGAGTACTTAAAATCAGCATTATTGAATTAATTAAAATTAGGGCACAATAATTCATGTACAAATGGGGGAGGATTTTTTTAATGCAATAATACTCATGTCATATCCATTAATATAAAAACTTTAAATTTTTCAGAAAATCTTAAAAATTATTTATAATTTTAGTGATATAAACATAACAAACTCCAGAAATTAATCACAATCAATAAATTAATAATTACACAACTAAGAGATGTATATAATCTTTGATTAAAATCTCACCATTCACATGGACGGTATTCAATTAAATTTTTAAGCAAATATTACACTGCATTTTTATTCCAATAAAATGTGAGAAAACAATATTGCTCAATTTGAGTCAACAAGCAAAGGCATGTTCAATCAAAGATACGAATAGCGAAACTAAAAATACTCTAATATATAAAAGGTCTTAAATTTTTCTTAAACTAAATAACATTTCAAATCAATAAGAAACTAACCTGATAGCTTCTACGAATTAAAAGATTTATAGCTCCCTTGCTGCGAGCAAAATGAAGATTTTTACATTCCACTATATAAAAAAGAAAATACATAAATTCAGAATATCTTATGACTATCAACTATTATAAAATATAAATAAAACTAATAAAGCTAATAATTGATAACTAGACAGGAACTAATGACTATTTCATATTTAGCCTATTCTTCAATTGAATATTTGGTTAGGATAAACATCAAAATATTAGGAGTGTGAACCAGGCCATATAATCAGATATCCAGCTGGCTGAATCATTTGAGTTTTATATTTAAAGAATAGTTCCTTTTTAAAGAATTGAAAAGAGAAATGTAAGCAATTAAATTAAAAGCAGGAAAATAGTTTTTCTTTCTGTTTTTTGAATCTATGAAAATGTCTTATAACTATTGTTAAACCAACAAAATTATTCCAATATTGCTTTTCTAACAATGATACAGAATAGGCACTATTAAAAAATAATAAATTAATAAAAGAAAAATTAAAAAACAGCTTAGAAAAACAATTCTATTTTTTATTACTTTTAAACTTTTAGTAGTTTAAAATAACATTTTCTTTATTCATAAACCATTTGCATATAAGTTCACAAAAGCCAGTAATTTTTTTCAAAATGCAACTTGACTGTAATATTTGATAAATTCCACTATTAAATTCTTTCTTGTCTTGGAGGATTTTAATATCAACGAATAGACCTGAAAATGACCACTCACCACATGACCAGTCAACAAAAAAAAGGGCAATTTTAATTAAATAAGCAACTAGACATTTTTTTCCATCTTTTTTTTAAAAAAAAATCATTCAACCATAAAATTACATCAGTGCAAAAAGATTCAGGAAAACAGAATTTTCATTAAAATGTCCAATGTTCAAAATTTTGATCCTTCAGAATCCACCAATTTCAGATGAAAAGATTCATATGGAAGAACTTTCTTTAACGATTCACATTTTTCAAAGTTATAATACATTAAATGTATTTTGCCTCCCCTAATATTTTTAAATAAAGTTCTTTAAAGTCAGTATGTTTAACTAAATTTTGTCACATATTTACATTATTTTTACAGTTGAATTAACTTTTTATAGCCACAGATTTTTGCTAATAAGAATGTTTTAGGAAAATATAATTTAGTCTAAACAAAAAAACAGTTTGCAAAAAGTGGCTATTAAATGAAAATGACCTATCGCTATCAGTCACCTACTCATTAGGTTTTAGGAAAAAGTGGTTACTGAGTTATTAGAGATTATCATCCATTGGCTATTTACTGAAAATTTAAATTTTCAGATCGATCGATGAACTAATAAATCTGATCAATATAAGGAAATGGTTTTTATGTTGAAAATGGCTTTTATGTTGAAGCAGTTCCAAAATAAATAAACTTGTAATGCGCAATTAATTTTAGGTGTGCATGAGTAGAAATCTATTTTTTAAGCAATTCCTATTTTATTTTTGTTTTCATAAATATAATATAAATCAAATTATTAATTGTATTGAACTAAATCAAAACATTTTACTAAACTAATTTCCATTTATTTATTTTCAAAATTGAATACACTTAATTCACTGCATAGAAGTTAAGTTATAGAACTACCAGTTTTGAATAAGGAAAAAAAATGGAAAAAATCTTGTTTACGCCTATACTTGTTTAACTACTGTTTATCAATAGAAAACAAACAACAAATAATTGTAAGTAATTCTACTTATACAAGAAAAATTACCAGTTGGAATTTTAAATGTTTTTACAATAGCAGCTAGAACTCGATAAGCTTGTCTAGAACTCAATGAAATGCCTCCAGAATTAATTTCTCTAACAATCAAACTATCTAGGAGCTTTGCTGTCTGTAACCGTAACTCTGGACTTTCTTTAAGGAATGACATAGCAGGACCCCACTTATTATCATGTAAAAGTTGAAGGATTATCTAAAAAAGAAAAAAAAAGCCTATATTTATTTTAGAACATAAAATTACATTTACTTTACGATATAAAAATTTATATCAAATATTCACTAAGCTTATCATAAAAGTTTTATGATTTAAAATTAGTTAATCAATAATTTTCATACACTAGAAGAAACAGAATAATTATTTTAAATATTACTATACCCAATTATAAAGTTTCAAGCATAAAAACAACAGAATTTGGGAGTATATTTACATAACAGTACCAGCCCTAAACTAGTTAGTCAATTTTTTTGATACACAAGGAACTTTTTAAAAAAAATCATAGAATAAAGTCAACTTGAAGGGTCATATTATACGGATCAGAAACCTGATATAACTTGAAAACAAAAACAATAAGTTAATCTACAAATCTAAAAACTTTTATCTACAAATATATCAGAAAAGTTCTCAAGATAAAATGGTTTCACAAAATATCTAACAATGAACTATTCAAAATCAGTAAGCAAAAACCAATGGAATTAGAAATAATCAGATAACACAAATGGTGATTTATCGGACACACTATCAGAAACCCGAAATAACTGTAAGTAAAACAAATGCTGGACAGAACACCCCAAGATACACCTAAAATTACATGGTACAGAACTATTATGAATAAATTAAAGACAATAAATAAAACATGGAGCGAAATAAAGTGCTTGATCTCCAACAGGCTGGGATTGACAGTCACGACAAAAGCGCTATGAGAGTTATACATGCAGAGTGAAGAGCTATACATACAGAGCCTTTCAGAGTGAAGAGTTATAAAAAGGAGAAGGGTAAAATACATACCTCCCCCCCTAGACAAGCCACTATATGATATAACCACTATATGTGTGTTTTTCTAGATTTATTACAAGTACAAAACAGTGTTCTTAAAGTTATGACTAGCACAAAAACGTAACAGTTTCGTATGTCATAAATAGGTACTGATGCAAATATAACTCTCAGATTTTAGAATGTAATGTAAATTTAGATGATAAGATTAATAGAATTATCAAAAATTAAGAAACAAAAGCAATTTTAAAAAAAACATTTTCTCAGATAACAGCAAACTTATTATTAGTTATTAAACGAAAGTATTTAAACAAAAATTTAATATAAATTTGTTAGGATTTGTTTTAATTAATATTACCTTTTCAATGGGATATTCCTTCTGTAAGTTCAAAACACTAATACAATATGCAGCCTGAAAATATATTCAAAAAATAATCATTGTTATTTAAACATACATTATTGAACATATAAAATTATTATTTAAACATGCATAATTGCATATTCATTGTAAAGACATATATTCAGAATGCAAATTATACATTCAAACAACTGTTTTATACTTAAACACAATGAAAGAAAAAATTATATTTAAAATGAAGTATGAATAAGCTAGACTTCAAATGATGTTGTCAATTATTTCAAACTTAAAATAGAACAAGGCAAATTTTTTTACAGTATATTCATAACAATTAGAATATTAATAACAAATTAAACTTCACATCTACTGCAAATGTCTATACAGACTGCACTACTAAAATGAGCTGTGATAATAAATATAACTCTGAAGAAACACTTAATATCTTATTATGTGGGTGTATCACAGGTTTAAAAATTAAAAAATAAAGAGACAGAGAAAACTAATGAGGGAAGGATGATTATTTTTACCAACATCAAAAAAAAATTTTCTTTTTTTTTTTTTGCTATTTAAATCAGATTTTCTTTTTTCTTTTGCATTCATTAATCAAATTTCCCCTCAAAAATTAATGAACTAAAAGTTGCAACTGATATTTAAAAAACTTTATTAATCATGACAACCAATTAATGAATTTAAGCTCAACACAATCATGATTTGCTAGCTTAACATCAATTAAGGATTAAATTAATTAAAAACAAAAACATTAAAAAATCTTTTATTTCATATTATTCTTCGTAGAATAAGTCTTTTGTCATTATCTAAATACATTAACTATATATTTATTAAGTTTTAAACCGAATCAAATCTTCCATTACACGAACCTAACAACCACCTAGGATTGCCAGAACAAAGGGGAAGTAAATTAAGAAAATTCAAGTGCTTAAAATTATTAAAGAAAATAAATAAATATCTTTTTTTAATGTTTTTGTATAAATTTCTATTCCAAGAATACAATAATTACATCAATCATATTTTTCATACATCGTTAGTAAATTTTTTCCCTTTAATGTACTATTTAAATAGCCCTTTTACATACATTTAAGATTCAAAACAAATACCATTTTCATCAATTATCCTATTAGTTTAATATTTTTATTAAAGCATAGCATAGTTTTATCCAAATTAGTTAAGTACTTTTTTATAGATATTTCATTTTTTATGCTATTCTACATTTGCAATATATATGCAGAAAGAGTTTTTTTCCACTTTTTCCAGATGCCTGAGATGGTAAGACAGGCTCTGGTTTTAAAAGCATTAGTATTTAAATAAATATAAAATTAGAAGGATATAATTCCAATTTATTAATTGATAGAAAATATTTTACACACTAGGGGAGAGTTTAGGGGAGTTAGGGAGTGCTAGTTTAGGGGAGATTTCCAAATTGTGGTCTGTGGCAGAATAATCAACTTCTTGCAGTCTAGGCAACTTCTGAGCAGCGGAAAGTGAGAAATTTTAAGAAAAATATCACAGAAAGGGACCAACTCGAAAGGTATAACTCATACCCCCCCCCGTGCAAACATCTNCCCCCCCCGGGTAAACATCTACATGTTTTGTGTATAAAAAATTACATGTTTAAAATCCATTTGGCACCTTGGCGATTGCAGTTGGCGCGGCAGATTACAATACGGAAATCTACCCCTATCTTATAATTTAAAACTTGCACCCCATTCTTATCTGTAATCTGTATTTATAGTCTATTTTTCTTGAACTCCTTATTCTCTGAACAAAATTAGATTTAAAAATACTACACTCTTATTAAGAATATATAAATATATATTTAATACCATGAAACAATTTTCAACAATTAATAATAATTTTTACAAATAAAGCAATATTAATGAGTGATTCTATTAAAGACAATTGATAAACCATTTTTGGAAAAATATTTTAAAAAAATATTTAAAGAAATTGTTTGAATAACTTGATTTAAAATATGTAAATAAATAAAGTAAATTGGTTTAGATTATGACAACCCTGACAGACAATGAAGTTTATGTTGAGCCTCTCAATCTTATCACACAGCATTTTTTACCTCAGAAATTTTTTCTTGGTGTAGAAGATCCCTTACAAAGTCTTGAAAAGAAGTTTTTTCTTCACTCGAAATATTAAATGCATCACAAGCTAACTTGAGAATTTGGTAGTTTTTATAATTCAACAGATAACCTAAAATTTCTAATTTTTGTTCTCTATTAAAATCAAACCGAACAGAATTGTTTTCAACATATCTTTTAAAAGCAGAAATAAAGTTAAACATTAATTCAGTAGAAAAGTTACAATTATCGCAAGCAAGCCGCATTATATTAATAATGTAAGAAGATGATCTTTCATTTCTTGAAAAACAATCACATAAATGCCTGTAAAACATATCAGACGCTTTTGTTTTCTTCCATAAATTTTCACATTTTCGCATGTCTTTTAGTATGCTAAAGGCTTTGTTATTTTCCGGAGAAGGCAAGTGTGAAAAACGATTCTCCGCAACGCTGATCAACGCAATTCTATTAATTGATAAGAATCCTTGCCTGAAATAAAAAGAAAAATCAATTCATCAAATACATAAGAATTAACGTCAATAAAATTATTATAAATAATAAAATATCATTTGGATCTTACCGCAACCGATTTAAAAACATTTTAGCAGCCGACAAAACAAAATTATTCGAGCTTAGTTTAGATGAAGAAATTCTGCTTATATGAAAATAACAGTAACTACTCAAATGGCTTAAATATAGCTCATAAATTTACAAAAATCTCTCACTTTGACTACTTCACAAAAAAAGATGAAATAAAGATTAACTAAGCTTTTTTCAAGTAATAAATCAAAAAATTAGCCTTTTTTGTCATATGTTATAATAAATATTTTTAATTTATATTTTACAGAAGAGCTACTTTAACTTCTATTTGTTTTTGTATGTCAATATGATATTCGATTAATTTTTGTAAAATAAGTTCGTTTTGTTGTAGACATAATTTATGATAGCTTAACAATGTCTGGAAATGAGGGAATGGATAGTTTAATTCCAATTGTTAATAAATTGCACGACGCATTTACAAAATTAGGTGTCAATTTATCTATTGACCTACCACAAATAGCTGTAATAGGCGGACAAAGTGCTGGGAAAAGCAGTGTTTTGGAAAACTTCGTTGGAAAGTGAGTCATCTGTCAAGCAGAATCTTACTTTGTCAGGTTATGGCTAAAATAATAACTTTCTCTATATCGACCATAGCATCGCAATTTTATTGTGTTTTATTCAAAAGAAAATATCTATGTGTATCACAGATATTTCTTTTGTTTGAAAACAATTTCCCTTGTCATTTTATGCAAATATAATTTTTAAATGTTTTAAAGAACTCCGAAAATCGTATAAAGTTTTTTTATAATTATAAACTTATTTTTTTCTGATACATAAATTATAATTGAACTTTTAAAAAAATAGTTTCAATCTTTAACAAATTGTTTTGGTGCCAATGGAGAGGAAAAGTTTCTCAAAATTATGAGCGTGATCAGGAATAATAATATTGTTTTGAAACCCCAAAAAATTTTGATAGGTATTGCTGTATGGATAATGTATGCATGCTAACATTGCATGGACACCAAAGGGTTGCACAACGTTTTTAAAAATGTGTAATGAGTCATACCCTTCAAGTTTGTCACCTTCCGTTTGTGGCTTTCTTGGCGCAGTTACTGATACAGAATTCTTCCTTGTTGAAACACAGCCGTAAATAATAGGTACTCTCGAGAAAAGACGTTAACAGCAAAGTAGTTCATTTTATTGCTGTGATACTAATATTTGGCTTTAACTTATTAAATTCTGTCAAAAATATGCACTTTTTAAAAATATTGCATCGACCATCTTCTTTATACTGCTGGCAATCATGTCATTTATTTGTATTACAATATTTTCATTACATATTAAATTGTAATGAAAATTTTCTATGATACAATCTATCTTTTGCTGAAGTGTTCCATATCAATACCATGCAAAATGGTCAAGACAGATTTGGCAATAGTACACAAGAAACTTAATGAGCAAACTTTAGATATATTGCGTAATCAAACTTAAAATATATTGCATAATCAAATGGGGCAAGATTTAGAAGATTTTGTTACCGGCGAGTAAAATTTTTAACATGGTCACTTTTTCAAAAATTAAAAATTCTAAACTATTGAGAGAAAAAAAATTTATATTGTTAGCTTAAAGCATTTCTCAAAATAAGCACTTCAGGGTCCATCTCTAAGATGAAAAAAAAATATTCTAGCCTCTCAGAGTTGATTTAAGTATTGTATATTGCATTTTCAACTAATGGAATTTAGGGTTTGAGTCTTTGAACCAATGATGTGACATAAAATTTATGTTCATTAACAAACGTAAAATTTATTGTTTGAAACTAGATCGTAAATTATTGTAATCATAATGATAAAATATATTAGTTAAATCATTTTTAAATATCGTCCATGAATTTTTTTAAAAAAAGTTATATGAAATTAACTTTAACTTGAATGAAACCTTTAATATCCGAATTCAGACCTTCTGAAATTAAGAACCAACACAAAATAGCTTGAAAGTTCTGGAGATGATAACTGCTTTCCTGTGTAATAAAAACAGTACAAGAAGTGGCATCCTCGTGTTTTAATTTTTGCCTAAAAATTGTCATTAAGAAACAAATTTTTAATTGCCACTTTTTTGTAGCCATTGCCAACCATAAATTAGCCACCTATCATAATTTTTTTTTCTTTTAACGGGTCTCTTTATTTAATTCAAATTTCAAGAGCCTGATAGTGACACTTTAGAGTTGTAGTGACAGAATTTTGATAGATTATCCAGTGGTCAGAAAATCTACATTATTTTTTCAGTTTATTACAACTACTTTGTTACAAATTTATCTGGAACTCCCTATATTTAAATGTAGTAAATACAAACTACTTTAAGGAGATGAAATTAGCTGTAGAACTTAATTTACACCTATGTTCAAAATGGTATTGAATAAAAAATTGCTTTATTAATCATAAGGAATTAAGAAATGTTTATTCTTGTTTACATCATTCAGTTTGTTATTCTAAAACATTTTTTTTTTTTTCGAATTTGTTCATTTTACCTTAAATTTTTTGTCTTTATTAAACTTATGCCTTTAATATTTAAATTAAGAAATTATCATAATTAATAAGTGGTTAATGCTCTTTTTTCTCTAAGAAATGAAGTACATCAAAAATATGTTCCCTTCCTTTGAAATTACATTGATGTTTAAAAAATGTTTATTCAATAGGGTATTACTAATATTCAGTCACTATTCGGTATTTTGCCCTTTTAGCCGAATATTTGTCATATTGGTCACTTAATATATAATTTTAGCAACGTTTTTACAATAACTGAGTTACTTAAAGAGTGTTTCCTGTGAACTTTATTCTTTTATGATCACTTTTTTTCTAAAAATACAGCAATTTGAAAAGGTTAAATTAATATTTTTTGCTTTAAATCTTTCATTTAAAAGTTAAGAATGGTTTTGGTTTCTATTTAGCTTTTTCTTTTTCAAAAAAACTTATGTTTTTATGGACATTTTTATTATGATGCGGAAGAGTTTCTATAAGACTTTAGTCTTCACTTTTTCTTAGAAATACTGTGATTGGAAGCTGAAATGTTTTTAAAAATTAAGATCAATTTTTATTTTTTCTGTTTTACTTTTGTGTATAATCTGTTATTTTTTATATGCGTTTTTAGGGTAGCGCTGCATTTTTAAAAGTGTTTCTGGTAGACATCTTTTTAATGTTTAATGGATAATTTTTTTCTTGTAAATATATTATTTTTAGCATTAAAGTTTTGTTTTAAAAATTAAGAGGATGTTTTTTTCTATTTCTGTTTTTTTTCCCCGAAATATTTTTAATTATCTAGTTATCTATATATCTATCTTAATATCTAGTTTTTTTCTCTTTATGCGATGCCAATAATAACAGCTAAGTTTTGATTATTTTTCAATAATGACTAAACTTATTTCTATATTAAAAATAATATTTATTATTGATTCAAATCACTATTCATTACATCCTTAATATTTGCATGTGAAAGGTTGGCCAAAGTGATAAATTATCTTTTATCCATAACAGCTAATTTAAATATTAGTAATACGTGATTCTGAATATCGAATTCTTGTAACGTTCAGACGTGGGTTTGGGGGCATTCTATTGCGTTTATTGATGGACCTAAGAGGATATGTACTCATCAAATTCAAAAAATTAGTTGCATTAAAACCTTGTTTCTTATCTAATTAACCGTTAAAAGTAGTTGCTAGCCAAGAATTGCTAGAAACTACTGTTTTTTTGTATTGCACTACTTATTTCAAACTACAAACTATAAAAAAAAAATAGCACCTACAGTATTTTCACTACTTGCTGTGTGCTACTTCTTGTCACTGAGATTTCAAAAAAATATGCTAGAAAAAATGCCACATCATCTACTCAATAACATATATATGTAGTATAATATTTTGCAAACTGATCAAGTATTTGTTACACTAATTAAATGCTCTTTATTTCTAGTGTGAATTTTTTTTTTTTTTAACTGAAACCTTGCTTGTTAAGTTTTTTTCTTTCAGTCGTAAAAATTTACAAAAATTTTCTGTCTTATTATCTTTGTTTATTAATTAATGATCTTATATATTAATAAACTAAGAGAATAATAAAAATGTTAAATGTTTCTCTTGTTAATCTTCAAAATATTTAATATAAGTTTTACTTATTTTTAGAGATTTTCTACCCAGAGGATCTGGCATTGTGACCCGTCGGCCTTTAATTTTACAGCTCATAAATTCTCCACATGGTAAATACTTTCATGTTTAATTTTGAATGTAAAACAATTTTGAAATTATTTATTAATTTTTAATTAATAGGGATTTTAATAAAATTGATTTTAGAAGTATATATGAGTCTTAATTTTTTAGAGTTATAAATTTTGTGACCTATATGTCATTTGTAAAATATGTATGTTTTTCCTTTTTGTCAAAAAAAAAGGTAGAATAATTTTTTTTTTTCTCTTTTTATCCAGTATACTTGCTGACAAAATTTACTACCTATATGGCAGTGTTAAATTACAACAGATTGTTTTTTAATAGAATCGTTGTAGTACACTTTCAGTTTAACAGGAATGATGCTTGTAATATGTTCTGTTATGTTAAAAATGTGTGCAATAAGCTTGTACTACAAACTGTTTGTTTTCTTCCATATTATCTCCTGCTCAGAATGTTACTTTGAAAACAATGTTCAGTGTCCTTAGCTTCACATAAATAGCTGGAATTAATTTAGCTGATTATTGTGTAAATTATTTGCTCTGTAAATATGAATATCAAACTTTGGTACTTTTTATCTTCATATTTTTAAATATCAGCAGGGGGTAGATATAAGCAATACACACGAAAGATTCCTTCATCCATCAATTTTAATGAAATTAGGAAAATTGCATGACTGCAACAGAATGTAAATGCTTAGAATAAACTTTTTTTATATGTGATTCCGCATGTAACTATTTTACATCATCAAATCTTTGTGGTAATGATTTCATGGGTTATACACTTATTTATTATTTTCAGCAAATGCAGTAACAAATCTTATAGAATAGAGTTTTGTAGTTTCGCAATTATTTATTCATTTCTTTCATCTGAGTTTAGAAATGATAGATTCCAATCAGCTATACAGTAATAATACCCTAGAATTTTTAAATGGAGCATTGTGGGATCATCCACAAAATTACTCTTGTACAAAAAAAGTTAAGTTTTATATATACTGTATTTTCGTTAGAGAGAAGAAAAATACTCCTTTAACTTTTTATTCTAAGCAAATTAATTCTGAAATTAGAAATAATATAAATTTATTATTCTTTTGCAAAAAAATTTGCCTTTAAATAGAGCAATTTTTTTTTAAAGTATCATTTGTCTTCATTAGAAGCAGTCTAGTATATGTCTACTGTTCTAAAAATGTCCTAACTTTATTTTTAGCCCACTTCAAAGCCTGTAGTCATAAATAGCAATTACAAACTCACAACAGTTAAAAAAATAAAATCTTATTCACTACATATCAGAAAGGTTTTTTAAAAAAAAACAGCCTTAATTTTTTTCCTTATAATAAAAATATACTGTTCTAAAAAAATATATTTAATTTTCATTCTCTCAATTTTAAATTTTTTTGCTAAATAAAATAAAAACAATTGTTCAATTTACCATGTTAATAAAGGTTTTATCTTATACACTATCTTAATTAAAGATATCAAAAATATCATAAATGTAATTTTAAGGATTTATGCTTTAGTAATTAAAATGCATAGTTGTGATAACAGCAATATTTTTCATTACAATTATAATTTAAGTTTAAAAAAGTGCTTCTCTATATCTATAATATCCTTTGTTTTTTGGCAATTTCAACTTAATTTTTTATTCCAGCTGAGCATTCTGTTTTAATTATTTTGTTAATGAGCCTTTTTGTGAAATGTTCTCCTTATTTCCTGTTGTTGCATATTCTTTTTATCATTTTTTAAACACTTTTAAGAATTAAGTGTAATTTTAAAACTTAATGTTTTATTTGTAAGTAATAACGTCAATCAATTTTTTTATGTTTATTATTTATCATACTTTTTAGTTACCTCTGTTTAGGTAATATGATTGATTAAAAAAATTACATCAGTTAAAATTAGTTTTTATATTAAGAAGTAATTTATTTTGTAAAACAAAAAGATTTTTCTTCATGCAAAATAATAAATCAAATTTTCCTTATGTACAATAATAAATAATAATGTAACAATCAATAAATAATAATGTTAAATTGCTGGTGGATGCATCAGACATAAACTTGTTCCTACTTTCTGGAATTTTTGTGTAATATATTATTTACCTTAAAAGAAATGAGCCCTATTCCCCTTTATATACTTATTTTTTTCTCTTTATTGCTAGCATGTGTCCTTCACTTATATATCCATTCAATATCACTGTCACTTTCTAATCTGACAGCTGTTCTCTTTGTCATTTACTAGATCTTTGACTTATTAAAATATTTTTCTTTCAGAATATGGTGAATTTTTGCACGTTAAAGGAAGAACCTTTACAGATTTTGATGCTATTAGAAAAGAAATTGAAGATGAGACAGATCGTACCACTGGTACTAATAAAGGAATTTCACCTCATCCAATTAACTTGAGAGTTTATTCACCACATGGTAATTCAAAATATTAACATAATAATGGTTGAGCATTTTCTTAGACTTATTTATATCCAACAAAAAATAGCTATAATAAAATTTATCAAAACCTTGATTTGTAATTTATCAAATGGACCAATTAAAGTAATAATTGTTGGATTATTACATATTTAAGATGGCTGCTTGACATGAAAACCAGAAACTATTACTGACACACAATTTTTGACAGTTTTTCAGTTAAAAATTTTTAAATTCTTATCTCTTGTTTATTAACAAAAGCAACTGTATTTTGTATGGTAAAAACTTTAATTTGTGTATTTTAAAATGGAGTTATAAAAAACAAAAAGTACTTGAAGTGACCCCTTGACCTTTAGAGTAGAAGCTGTTAGTCACAGATTTTATTTTATTTTTACTATTTTTCATTAGAAAATTATTTTAACTCATTTTCCCATTCCATTGTTAGAAATAGTCAAATATTGTGTAGTCAAAATTTTGATTTATAATTTATCAAATTGAATTACTGAAATAAGTAGTCTGAGTTAGTACATACTTGAGGTGGTCTCCTGCCCCTATACCTTATTTATTAATAGAGGAAGCAGAGTTTTATATGAAATTTGATAATTATTTGAATTTCATTAGAAAAAATTTATTTCTGAAAAATGTTTGTAAGAATAAAAGGAAAATGTTTTTTTAAAAAAATGTTATTACAGAAAAGCTAACAGCTTCAAATTGTAGTTCTGGTTACATAAATATAAAAGCTTTTTATAAATTATAGGATAGACAACTTTTTTGATTTTGTGTAAAGGCCTCTTTATTTTTTAGTTTTTTTTTAATTCTGTTAACAACCACATATTTTTTAATATTCTTTCTGACAAATCCTTTCTTTTTTTCATGTATGAATAAATTTATTTGTTAAGTACTCAGTTCTATACAATTATTGAGATATTTTTGTACGCTTTGATTGTTAATTTTTGTATAGGCAATTAAATAAATTTAAGCTCATTAATCTAATTGTAAAATAGAATTAAATATTAATTAATCAATTGAAAATCAGGATTCAAATGCCTCAGGGAAAACTTATAAAACTCAGACAATTTAAATTTAGCTTGAAAATTCAGGATATACCCAGAAAAAATCAAAATCTTTTGAAAGTTGAAATTTCAGGCTTTTTTTTAAGTAAGTCAATTTTCTTATTCCAATCCTTTCTTGCAAAATTTCCTAGTTTTTGTATGCAAAAAAAATTTCCATTGATGCAGCTATTTTATGTTGAGAAGAATTTTTAAAAGTTTATTTAATGTTATGTTTGATTATTTTTTTAATACGTAAATATTACTTTAATCTTGGTTTTGATAGATACTTTCCAATTTTCTTTTTTTTTTCTCTACCTTTTTTTTGTGGTTAACAATACTGTCTTGTGTGAAATTCATTGAGATGTTGGAAAGTATTTAAAATAAAGAATTCAATCTATTGATTTTTCAATATGTGGGTATATTATTGTATTGTGGGATGTAACCAGCTATTTTTAGGTATGGTAGTAATTTTGTAATGATATTGATGCATATTAACTTTAAATTTTAATGCTTTTAATATTTTATTGTTTTTTGTAAAAACTTATTAATATTTAAATTATTATTGAATTATACTTATTATAAATTAAACTGATTATTGAAGTATTTTATTGTTTTTTACCCACCAATTCATTCATCTTGCATGTCCTTGACTAGTATAATGTGCTGCTGTATGTGTTATTGTACGCTAAATACTCACAGAATATTTTCTCAGTATAAACCATTAAAATATTTTGTTCAAAGTTTTGTACAAAAAAATCTTTCGGAAAAATAACTTCCCACTTTTAGTAAAATGATTCTGCAGTTGTGTCATATTGCCACTTGATGACTTTAAAAAAAATAATTAATTAATTAAAAAAAAGCATGTTAAAAGTATTTTATGATTTCCCTTACTTAAATACATAAATAATTTCACAATCTTTAACGCAAATAATTGAGGTCAATACTCTTTGCCTTAAGAAAGTATTAGTTTTTTCTTACTTTAAAGCAATTATGTACTTTTATTATAATGTTCAATTTCTATTAATTGATATTTCATGGCAAACTAGGCAGTGATTAACATTGTTTAAATCTTATAAAAAAATTTGCAACATTTAAAGTTTATAATTTTTTTTTCTATTCTAGTGTTTGTGATTTCTGAATAATTATTGATTTGTTTTGTAATAGCTAAACTGTATGTATCTTTCCCTCAATAGTTTTGAACCTCACTTTAATTGACCTTCCCGGAATGACTAGAGTTGCTGTCGGTGACCAACCACCAGACATAGAACATCAAATAAGAGATATGCTACTTACATATGTAAAAAAAGATACTTGCTTAATTTTAGCTGTAACTTCTGCAAATCAGGATATTGCAACATCAGATGCTTTGAAACTTTCAAAAGAAGTTGATCCTGAAGGTAAAGTTGCTTATGATTGTCAAAATCTAATTCTATTACTTTCTTATCTTTTCAGTTCTGAATTTGACTTTGATTGATCTACCTGGTCTCACTAGAGTACCTGTGGGAGATCAGCCTCTGGATATTGAGAGAAAAGTTCATGATTTAATAGTTGAATACATAACCTCAATGAGTTGCCTTATTTTGGCGGTTCATCCTGCTAATGCGGATATTTCCACTTCAGATGCTTTGAAACTTGCCAAAGAGGTTGACCCAGCAGGTCAGAAAGCATGTGCATGGAGTGCTTAAACGAATTAAATTTGTTCCCCGGGTAACATTCTTGGAATGTGTGAACAACTAAAATTTGACCACCCTAATTTTCTATATTATAACCAATTGTCATTTTTGTATAGTTAATCTAGATATAAATGTTTTTTATTTGATGATACCAAAAAATGAATTCATTGTTCCCTTTTTAATTCCTTTTGTAATCTCATCCATATTAACCATAAAAAATTTCCAACTCAACTGGCTGCTACTCTGCAATAAAACCAGGTTTGTTTGTTTTTTCCATTATGCTATAATTTAGAGAGATTAAAACTTAATCATTGAAGAGAATCAGTAACACTTCACTGGATAATCATATTATATTTATTTATAGTTTTTTTTTCGTATTTTAATTATATTTGAAATAATTAAGAACTTGCAAGAATCAGTAAGATTTCACTAGATAATCATTTTGCATTCATTTATTTTTTTCCATTTGTTAATGATATTTGAAGAAAAAAATTATTCTAATAACTTAAGAACTGGAGAAAATCAGTAACATTGCACTGCATAATCATATTTTGTCTATTTATAGTTTTCTTTTCGATAAATATTCTCTTTTTACTTTTTGTCTTGTTTAGCAATATAAAGAAAAGAGTTTTTATAATGCAACATTGCTTAAAAAAAATTTGTCTCATCACAGTTTGATTCAACTGTAAAATAATATTTCCTTGTTTGTAATTTATAAAAGCCCTTTGATTTGGTGTTTTACCAATATCCTTGGCCATCTTTTGCAATGCTTTTCATTATCAGTTACGATATTTAGTTATGCTCTCTGAAATAGAATCACTTGCACTTCTAAGGTTCTGTCATATTTATTATGATATATAATATATATCTTTTGTTGAATGTAGTCATATTTTATTGGAAAAAATATTTACCAATGACTGCATTATTAATCCATATGAGCTTATTCTGAAGGCCAGCAAATATTTTGCAGATTTCGTTCTACCTAACTAAATCTCTGATGGTCATCATTTTTTTTTCTCTTTTAATTCATGTTTTCAAAGTATTGTCAATAACAAATTTAATCACTTGCATTATAAATGTATAATTTACAAAATAATGTGTGCATCCTCAATCATTTCTGAGTATTAAATCTGATCTATCAACAACATTATTTATTACAAATGGTATATTACTGAAAATATTTTTTAGGTCTTCGAACTATAGGTGTAATTACAAAATTAGATTTGATGGATGAAGGTACAGATGCTCGTGAAATATTAGAAAATAAACTCTTACCCCTTCGAAGAGGTTAGTAATTTAGGTGAATACAATTAAAGCAGTGTAGTATTCTATACTAATTACCTTATTTCTGTATCTAATTCCTTTGTCTAGGTTATATTGGAGTTGTAAATCGTAGTCAAAAAGATATTGAAGGCAAAAAAGATATAAAAGCTGCCCTTGCAGCTGAGAGGCGCTTCTTTTTAAGCCATCCTTCATATAGGTAACTTTTAATATTCTATAAAAATTCTTTAAAAATTTATATGAAATATATTTTAAAAAATTAAATTACCTTTAAAAATTTATTCATGCCATGTTTTTATATTTATAATATTACATAATATTTACATTTATCATGTTCATGCATTGCATTATGTGAAGTGTTTTTAAAAAAATTATGAACAATAGTAGAAAGGAAAAGAAATAATTTTAGATTACTGCCTAAAGTTTTAAAAGTAACATAAAGCATATGAAAGTGACCGAAAAAAATGTCACACAAAGCGGAGAAAAAAAATATATAAGTTTCAATAAAGTCAGCAAATAAACTTTTTAAATTTAAAAACCTATTTACAACCAAGGGTGAATTATACATTTAGGCTCTTTTAACAAAAAAAAGTATAATGAAATGTTGTATAATTTCAGAAGTATTGATAATCAAAGTGGTTGCATCTCAGGTAATTAGTGTGTTGTATCTGCAGATCTCTTACATTCTACTCAGTAAATCTTGTTGCAAAATGAGGATTGGGACATGCTTACTTGAGATTCTTCCCATTTCATTGTTAATTATCATTTATTTTTAAAGTTACATTTAAATAAACTTTGTTTTTTTCTTCATTTATTTATTGTATACACATATGACTAATCTTTCAAAATAAAGGTTTTTGAAAAGAATATTATTAGTAATTCATGAAAAGTATTACTTTTTCAGAAATCTTACAAGAAACTAACATCTCATCTAAACATTTGAATTTGTATATATTTTTTGGGTTTATTAAATGTTCTTTATTATTTTAAAATAGCTTTCATTATCATGTTAATAAAAATGAGCTTTTTAGTTCAAATTGCTTTTAATCTAAACCATTTTTATAAAAATTTTCTATGTTTAAAAATAATATTTCATGTTTTATTATGTAATTGAGAGGCTTGTTTTTTTAATTGTAGTAAGTATCCACTATTTTTCACATTTTAAATTTAAATAAAAGGGGAGAAAGAGCTTTTTCAAAAAATCTGTTGTCTAAAATAATTATAACTTTATGTGAGTGATTTAACTACTAGCTGTTACTATGCTATTACATTGAATCCAATTGACTGCAAGAGATGGCTAGGTTCTAATCCTTGGAATGACTGATTGGTTTGAGAACAGTTGGGACAGATCACAGTACTGATATAAAACATCTCAGGTGATTGGCATATCATAGGTTTAAATCGATTTGCTATTTAGCTAACCATGGGAGGTTTACGTGATTTTCCTCTCCCTCTCAACACAAATGTGGTTTGTTCAACCAAAGTTATTTTGCCCCAATTTTTAAATTAGGAGTTTCCTTTTCTTCTAGATTGAGTTCAGAATTACAAGGCTGCAGATTTGAACATTAATAGTGATAAATTTAAAAAGCATTAGATAAAATAAAATATGCACGGTAATTAAGCTAAAATTTACTTGGGGCTTTTTCTTCAAGGCGAGTTGTTCAGAAACCAATAGTTACTGGCTTGAATATTGTTCTAAAGGTTTTTAATACAATTATTTTTCACAAAGTATTCATGAGAAAATTTATTTATACTGTGAATATTTCTTCTTATTCAGTTCATTTTGCTTCTTAGACTTTATACACTTTCATGTATACGGATTTTAAAGATATGACTCCATTTTCTTCAAAAACATAGTAACCTTATTTATGCGTTTATTATTTAATTTTACTGTGTATATTTAATATTTAGGATAATGTAAATGATATTTTTTTTATTAATAAGCTATCTTTCTTAAGTTTAAATGTAACGGGCAGAGAGTGACTGCTACTAAATCAATTTGAGGCCATGCAGAAGAAAATATATTTTGTTCAGCCATTGCTGTATATTTTTATATCATGGTCCTGATTTGTGTTTTTTTCAATAAACCAAAGAGTAATAACCTATTACCTGCAAACAATGAATATTATTAATTATTAAAAATTTTACCTCTTTGATTTTATAAAATTATTCTGAGTGTTCACCCACATGCATATTTTTCTCTTAAGTTCGCATTTTTACTTGGTTATCATTAATACAATACATTAAAGTATAATTTTCTTCTGCATTTTCCAACTGCTTTTTATTTATTTTTTCTATATTGTATAGACTTTCATCTTTTATGGTCAAAAAAAATATATGTATCCCCAATGTAAATGTATAACAATATATATATTTGTATAGGCATATGGCAGATAAAATGGGCACGCCTTATCTTCAAAGAGTTTTAAATCAACAGTTGACGAACCACATCCGTGATTCTCTACCTACTCTGAGAGAAAAACTAGAGAAGCAAAAGAATCAACTAGAAAAGGATGTTGAGCAGTATAAACATTTTTCTGCTGATGATCCCTCAGTTAAAACAAAGGCAATGCTAATGTAAGTATGAATTTTCAACTCAAACAATCTTAAGAGATTTTAGTGCTGCCATTTATGTGTAACTTGAGGCATGAGATTTTATCTCAAATTCCCTGGGGGGGTTCACCCTCACACTGAAAGTAATACCCCCAGTGATCTTGTCCTCCCCTCATTTTCCTCTTCTCCCTTGTCGTGGTCGCAAATTTACTAGTGAGGGCTTTTCCTCTGTGTTCTGCTACTCTGTTGTGTCGGACACTGATGGGAGGACACCAACCACGTGTCCGCCTTGCATGAAGACCTGTGTCTCTGAAAAAGGGGATCCTGGTATATTGATGAGTCTTTGTTGAAAATTATATTACATTTGTTCAATTATTCTATCGTACAGATTGATAAAGTTAAGCAATTTGGAGAAGAAAATCATAAACAGTTTAAATAAAGAATCAAATGTGCTAAAAAATAAATACCTCTTATATTTGTTAATATGGAACTCCATCAAACTAAAAAAGATTCTTCCTTTATTTTTAATGTACATATAATTACTAAAATAATACATTTTGAAAATGATTCAGATAGTGTGGCTGCAGGGGCCAGCCCCACAGGACATCTCTGTTCATCAAAAATATGTTAGAATAATTTTTTTCAAGGAAAGTTATATAATCATTGTATTGGCTAATAATTGCTTTAATTTATCGCATTGGCTATTAATTACTTTAATTTACTCCTTTTCTTAGCCTTACATGTTCAAATGTGTTGGCGAAAAAGAAAGTGTGTGAAATAATAACAAATTTTAATAAAATCGAAATATCTAGAACCTTGTAACGGTTTTCAAGTTCTATGCTAATGTGTTTTGCAGATGTTGAAGAAATCTCTAAAAATAGATTTTATTCTGCACCCATTCCAAGGTTGTGTTATAAAAAGATAACAAATTATGCTAATTACATTTATTTATTGATAAAAGGACTAAATAAAATAATAACTTAATGAAATAATAACTCTAAATGTTGGAATGTTTTTATGCATATCCTTGCTTTACAAGTTTTATCTTTAAATTGTTATTTAATCTCATTTGTTTCATAGTTATTTTGTCATAATTCCATTATTCTGAGATAATTGCAACATTTTTAAATGCTATATTTCTGTTCATCTATTGGTTATAAAGTAAATTTATCTTTGTAAAAGTTTGAAAAACTTGTTCTAAATCATTATTATTATGTTAAATCGATATGATTCTTTTTAATCTGTGAATTTGCATTTAAATAAGGATATTGCTAGTTAATAAAATAGCTGCACATAAAATAGTCTTGTTAATTTATTTTTGTGGCATTTTTTCTGCAATTTTGTCCTCCCCCTTCCTCTCTCTCTCTCTCTTTTTTTTAAATCTCTTGTCATTATTTAACAATTTGCTGTCATGTTACTGTAGTGGTGGCTTTTAAAAGTCGTTTTTTGTTGTGTTAGGTGATATATTTAATTTTTTTCCAAAGGATGATTCAACAAATGCAGACTGACTTTGATCGTGACATTGAGGGTTCTGGTTCGGCTTCTATTGATACGCATCAACTCACAGGAGGTGCCAAAATAAATCGCCTTTTTCACGAAAGATTTCCCTTTGAGATTGTAAAGGTTGGTGCCAAAGGCTTTTTAAATCGTATACCAACTTTGTGCTTAAATTTCTTAGATGTAACTACTACAATTAATTATTTAAATATTTCATTTCACATGCTTTTGTACCAGGTTTTCTTTATTAATATTTATTCCACGTTACGTTCAGCTGGTGCTTTTTTAATAAATATTACTATTGTGGTTATCCCTGTATTGTTTTATTTGATTATTCCCACAATTCCATGTGGTTATTTTCAATTTTTAATATAAATTTATCAAAGTGTAATTTGAAACTCCCTTTTAGGTTTTATTTTGTTCTCTTTAAAAGTTGTTCAAGACACATTACTCACGATATCAAATTTATCATTGTCAATACCTTCTTTTTTATTTACTTTATATCTTGCAAGATAGATGGTAAACTCTCTGTACTTTCTTCCTAATTATTAAAAAGATTTGTTTAGTAATCCATTTGAATTGCAATTGTTGATTTAATAAGTTAATCAATCACAGTATATACTTTTAAAAGTGTGATTCAATAATTTCTAAATTATTGATATATAGACATCATGTGTTGACATATTTTTTATCTTCGTAATCTTTCCTTTATTTTTATTTTTTTAAATAATATTTAATTTCCAATTTAAGTGTATTTTTTTCTCAAATTAAGTACTATTTCCATGAAATAAAATAAAGAAGGAAAAGAAGCGAATCCAACTAATAAACTCGCTATATAATCTCTGTTCATAATGAGATTTTGTAAAATGTTTTTTAAACTATTTTTTTATAAATCTCTTCATTAAACTTGGCATCTCATTGAATTAGAATAGGCAATGAAGGCAAAATTCAGAGCAGGCAAGAGAATATGACTGATATAAAAATCTGTTTTCTGTTCCCTAAATACAGGCAATTTTTACGCATATTAAAATACCAATAAATCATTTTTCATTTACAAAAAAAGAATTTTATATGTTTTAATATTAAGAAAAAATTTCGGATTGCAGAAAGATTATTTTATTTCGTGTTTCCCCATAAACCTAAAAATACCTTTAATTAACTTAAGCATTCGCTGCCGTTCTCAAGCCGTAATGGGATGCTACTACATGATAGTGATTATCATATACTGACACAAGATCAGCTGCATACATGCTGCAAACAGACCAATTCGTTATATTCATGAGCCAGTTTAACACTAATTTTACTCTTTGAATTAACTTATTAGGAAAAGTTTAAACTTAAAATAATTTTCAAGAACATAACTCTTAATTTTGAAACATGCTTGAAATCGGGCCCTTTCATGCAGCAAAACAAACCAGTTTATCCCATGTTACTTTGTAGTGGGGAGAGAACAGATTAGAAGATTTTTTAATTGAATGCGCACATCATAAGTCAAGCAGTTAATTCTCAGCTTATCTTAAGTGAAACATATTTGCTATAGCCCATACTAGAATATCAGTGATTAATTTTAATTTTTCTCCTTTGCTAAACATCTAAAAACAAATCTATTTTTACCAATAACAAAATATCCAAGAAGAAGAATTCTAGTAGGGGCTATAATGGCTTGTCTGCAGTTAAGCATCTCTAAGAAGAAACGTTTTATCTTGCTTCTAGGTCTGGGCAGCATGCATGATAGATGAAACTCGCAGTCTGGATATGGCATGTAACTGATATTTGTTTCACCCTTTTAATCTTAAATATATATCAGAATTTTGTAGCTACTATCAACTATTATATTTTCTATTGCATTCACTACTACTGTGAAAATACGTCGTGTTTTTAAGAAATTCGCCAAACTATCTAAGTGGCAAATTTTTAAGTTGCAATATCAGTTTAGAAAATTTTGCTCCGACATCTTTTTCTTCAACTGTTAATTTTTATCTATTAAATTTAAATTTTGTTATTTCTTGAAGTAGCTGAGCCCTTTGTGTCCTATCTGTTTCAAATTTTAAATAAAGCAGAGAATCATTTAATATTTTTCGTTATTGTTATGACCGTTTATTTTCAAAAACAGCAGCTATACTATAAACTGCTGTCATTGTTAGTGTTAAATTATTAGTTTCATTACTCGAGCCAAAACCATATATAGCTATACTACACTTCACTTTCATATTCTTTTGATTTGAATTGTACTTAGAAAACTGTTTCTCATTTTTAAAGGAAATACTACCACACTCTTTTTTTCTAAACATTTGCTGTTCGATTCTGTTGTTAGAAAGTGCTAATGTAAATCAGTTTGCTAGATTACCATTTTTTAAAAAAAAAAAAACTATAGCACACTGCTTGCTACACTACCCATTTCCCAGAACTATTTTTTTTTTTTTTTNTTTTTTTTTTTGATTACTTCATAATTGCTGCTCGCTTTGCAGGTTCAGTGCAGAATTCTCTATCTTAGTCCAGTTTTGTAGGGATTATCTTAGTCCAATGCTGTACAAATTAGTTTAGTTTTGTCAATTTTTTTTAAAATAAAATTCTTAAAATATGAAACATCACGGTTCTAAGTTTCATTGTTTGGTGTCACTAAGTTTCAAGTCTTTTATTCTGACATAAACTCTTAAAAGCAGAAGGAAGAAAAAGTTTTTAAGTAAAAGATGGAAGTAGCAGAGTTCTCCCTAGGAATAAAAATGGGTAGGGTGCTTGCCCTCGGAAAGGGACACTTTGAGTTTTGAGCGAACTTTACCGCTTAAAAATTTAAAGTCATGCTAAGAAACAATCTCAATGCATAAATTTTCTTCAAAAAAAAAATTAATTAAAACATTATTACAACTGTAATAAGCTTTACTTTATGAAGCCTGCATAAATTAATGAGCATAATTAAATCATATACAGTTTGCAAAATTAATGATGGTCTGTCGATCGGGAATCACATAAATTTAACTTGGACCATAACATGAAACAAAATATCAGTGGTCCCCTGAGTAGCAATCAATGTTAAGTGTTGTTTGTTGGAGTTTTCTCCTGAAATAGCTTTTCCCTTATGATTATGGGCATTACGCATTCTTTGTACTGCAGTTTTTCGTTTAAATTTGCTTTAACTTTTAAAAAAAATTTTAAAAAAACTTTTAAACGTGTTCAGGAAAATGTGCTTGGATAAATAATATACTTATATGCCGTTTGAGAAAATGATTAAATTTTCTTAATTTCTAGTTGCCTTTCTTTATAGGAACAGTTTGCTTTTAATTTTTTATTTCTCCCAACTTGTGGCTCAGTTTGATTTCAGCTCTTCATTTGCGGATAAGGGGGGGGGGATTTCTTGACTTTGGGTACTACCTTTTTTGGGATGAATTCAGGTTAATAATTTTTTTTTAATAAGTAACCTTACCATGAGAGCCAAGTTTCCATGGCTTCATTCATGTTTGCAAAATCTTAGATAGTTTTTTTGTTACTATGTAAATTTGATGTTGTATCCACAAATAGATTATTTATATATTGTGCCAGAAGTTGATTACTAATATTGCTTTGCGAATTTTATAAAATTTTGTATTATATATACTCCTGTAATATCTAATTCAGATGAATGTTTTGTTTATTGTCTTATCACCAAATGAATTATTTAAATATAATATAAAAAGTTGATCTCTTATATTGCTTTGCAAATTTCATAAACTTATTCTGCAATCGATATTTTTTAAATTGCAAATGTTTAATGAACAAATTTTTTTAAAACTTAATTAAAAGCTAAATGTAAGTGATTTATTTATTGTACTTAATAATAAAATCCTGTATTTGACCATTTTATATTAATTATAAAACAGTTTAAAAATTCTTTATGATAAAATGTCTCATAAAAAATTATATATAAAGTTTTAAGTAGAAATATGAATACTAACTATTGTTGAAGACAATATAATATCTAAGAATTTTTTAACAGAACAATAAAAAGAGTATAATATCAAATACCTCTTACAATCAGTATTAAAATTTAAATCTTCTCTAATGAACAATATCAATTTTTATAAAACATAAAATATTCATAAACACATTCATATTCATTATTTTCCCTTTCTTTGTTTATAGATGGAGTTTGAGGAAAACAATATAATATTTAAGAATTATTTAACAGAACAATAAAAAGAATATTATATCAAATATCTCTTTCAATCAGTATTAAAATTTAAATCTTTTCTAATGAACAATATCAATTTTTATAAAACATAAAATATTCATAAACACATTCATATTCATTATTTTCCCTTTCTTTGTTTATAGATGGAGTTTGATGAAAAGGAATTACGACGTGAAATTTCGTATGCGATTCGAAACATCCATGGAATCAGGTATGATGCAGTTTTAATAACTGTAATATTTTATTAATTTTTGAATTATTGATGTGCATCTAAAATGGCTTTTCATTTGTACATGTTTTAAAATTTGATATTAGTAATTCTAAATTAATGAAATTATTTTTAAGAAATTTATATTGTATCACTTAATAAGATCATTTACTAGGCTATTGTTGAAGGAAAATAATATTTAGTTTAACCATACTACTATTTAATAACCATCTTCGAAAGCTGGCCTAATTTTGAGTTTACGATTACAAATGTCCAACTCTGGGACCTCGAAATTTGAACCCAATCCATAAACCACGGGAACTCCTGGATCAAGTATTGGGAGAAATTTGCCTTCACAGAGGGCGTTTTGATGGAACTAACCCGCATTTGCGTTGCATGGAGAAGAAAACCTCCCATTGTTAGCCTGACAGGAAAGTGACTCTAACCCATGATTAGTAGTCTACTACTGAGGATATTTGTATCTACCAACCATCGCGGAGATTTGAAACCTGGTCATCTCATTGGGAGGCAAGTCTACTATGGAAAAATCTCTTTCTAAAAGATTTTCTCCTAAAGAAAGCCCTTTATATTTTTAGCTATAATAATGAGTTATTGTTTGTTTGTTTTTTTTTAAATTAGCTTTATGCAAAAATTATTTTATAAATTCATAAGAAGACTTCAGTGTAATATACTCGAAATTTTACATTTAATGTATGCTACGAATATTACACTAAAGCAATCAAAAGCCACAAAGAAATATATAAAAATGAAAAAGTTTAAAACCTAACTGAGCATCCATTTTTCTTTCATAATTCAAAAATTCTAGTTTCAGTCAAAGAAACTTAATATTGCATTGTTTGGAAATGGATTTCATGTCCTATATCCTAAATACTCTGTACTGAAACTCAAGTACCTGTACAGTACATTTGCATTTCATTACAAGTGTTTACATTTTCAGTACAAGAGTACTCAACCTCTAGGATGTCAGTGGTCATCTCTTTTAAATTTGCCTTTGCCAATAAAAACTTGTAACCATGTATAAACTTTTGCAGCAAAAAAATATATATATATATCTTTTTAACAAAAACATTAGTATAAAAACAAAACATATAATTGTATACTCTAAATTTTGAATCGGAACATTTTATTTATTAGTTGCTTTTAATATGTTTGAAAACTTTTAAATAAATTGCTTTTTTTATTATTATTAGGGTTGGCTTATTTACTCCTGACATGGCTTTTGAGGCTATTGTTAAGAAGCAAATCTCCAAGCTTAAAGAACCTTCACTGAAATGTGTAGATTTAGTTGTTAGTGAACTAGCTAATGTTGTAAGAGCTTGCTCTGCTAAAGTAAGATATTTATTTTTATATTTCTGAGACTTAATGCAAGAACAGTCCATTTTACGGTGTCATAAAAATATTTTGTGATTAACAACTAGAAATAATCAAAGCCTAATTTTTAAAGAAACAGAACAAAATCATTTCTAACTAATGAATATCGTAAAATACTTATTAGAGCTTAAGAGTCCAATCCAGCATTTCTGTCTTAACTCCTATTTTTGTAAAATAGTTATGGATTTCAGTGAAATTTAAAATTTTGAGAAGAAGTATATCATCTAAAATATATTTTTATTGCGATGATTTTAAGTTTCAAAAACCATAACATGAGGAGGGGTACATATTTATGCAAGAAAAGCATTTTTTTTTTGAGAAATTTTTTAATTAATTCATTTAGTTTTTTTTTTTCCTTTCAGAAAAAAATCTCATAAAATTCAAATTTTTGGGAAAGTGAAAATAAATGCTTGTTACTGTTGTGAAAATACCAATTTTGTTATTATAATTTTCTAAGTGGTACCAATAAATAAAAGTTACATCTCCCTACCTTTATTCTTAGATGCTTTTATTAAAGCATTATGGAAATATGCAATTAATTGGCCATAAATGTAATATATGTTTTATTAATATCAAAATAATCAAAAATGGTGCATGGAAAAAAAAATTCTTTTCGTTTTGTATTTTAACTACATAATGTTTCATGGTTTATATTTTTGGCATATCTGAGTTGATATTTTAGTACAGGATAACAACTTGGTCAGCCAATTTTTTAGCCTAATAATTTGTGAATTATCAATTGTATGTTATTAATTAATGTGCTGAATAATAATATTTTATCTTGTTAAGTTTTTGTATTAATTTTCGATCTTTTACCTCTCAGATGAACCGTTACCCAAATTTGCGAGATGAAACAGAAAGAATTATAACAACCCATATACGACAATGTGAGCTTAAAACAAAACAACAGTTGTCTCTTTTAGTTGATGTTGAATTAGCATACATGAATACTAACCATGAAGACTTTATTGGCTTTACAAAGTAAGTTACTCTAACACTATTATTTCATTTTGTTATACGTTTTATATATTGATTTTTTTTTTTTTTTTTTTTTTTTTTTTTTTTTTTTTTTTTTTTTTTTTNTTTTTTTTTTTTTTTTTTTTGGCAAGTGTTTTGAGGGGGAAATGTTTTCTAACTGTTTTGGACAAACTTTTTAATTGTTGCAAAACTGTTTGATAAAGAATTATGTTTATTGCTTTATTCATGAATAATTCATAAATATGATTTTACTAGGCCTAGTTATTTTTTTCTAACTTTTTTAAAATGAGTTTTTAAATTTATTGTTAATCTTTTTCCTGTTGTTTGAATTTAAATAAATAGACATTTATTAATTTGACTATTTTTTAAACAGAAATAATTTGCAGCCTGAAAACTATGCATTTTAAGACATTAATTTGTTACATCACAGGATATCTCAAGTGTATTTATATTCAGCATTTCTAATTCTAAAATCGCAATTTTTTTCATTATTGTGGATATCTTTTAACTGAATGACCAGCACATAATTAATTTGATTATCATTTGATTTTGTAAGTAATTTGTTTTTGTGCTAAAATACAAAGTAATGTTGTGGTGCATGCATTTGTAAAATTTTTTTTTACATTTTGTTGGTTTTTACAATTTTTTCTATTATTGAAACACTACTTTTTAGGCCTTCACTTTCTAAATTCTTTTGTTAGTTGTTTAGGAGGACTCAATTTTTTTTTTAACTTATTGCTCTTTAGATTATTACCATTATTTTGGTTATTGCATTTTCCGCACTTAAATCTGCTGACTTAGTTTAGTGAATACTAATATTTGTCTAAACAAATTCATATTTATGTTTGTTATGTTAAAAAAAAATATTGAATGAAATTTTAAGTAAATTTCCAATGTAACAATATGAGTTAATTTTCAAATCACGCCATGGCTATGAAAAAAAAGAATTAAATAATGAAAAAGAATCAATATGCTAGAATAAGCAAAAATTCTGTTAAAAACATTATTTTTTGCACAAAGCAATATGAAAATTCTGTTTCCAAAGAGATACATTTGAACTTTGAAATATCTTGTTATTTGTAATAATTTTAGCATTTTGTTCTTTTAAAAACTTAAAAGTGTATTCTAATTTATTTATTTTTAAAAGCATACAGTTTGCAGCTCTATTTATTTTTAATATGTATGTAATACATTTTTTGGTTCCAATTTTTGCCCCTTTTTTTTCAAATTGTTGTAGTAATTTGCTATTAGTTCTATTCTTTTATCACTTTTGTTCTTATTTGTTTCAGTCTAGAGCACTTTATGGGCGGGTGAGTTACTGCCACCTATAATGAATGCTTCCCTTTGATATTAAATCATAGATTTTTCCCTCTTTGAGCATTTTATTAACTTTTCCCCTTAACATCACATTTATCAAAGCAGTTACATTGTTGAATGTTGCATGTTTTTCACATGCTAGTTCCAAAACTAAAATGTTTGATTTAATTTTTTACATCACACATTTTCATAACATTAATTTAAGGAGAAATGATATTTCTTTTAATATACAGTCTGGCCTTTATTATTTGAAATCTATGAAAAAATACATAATGCAGTGTTTTCTTCTCTCCTTCGTAAAATGGCAAATGAACTTTTTTGTCAACATTAATTAGTACTCACTTTAAAATTTCGAATTACTAGTGTATTATTTATTATTCACTGCTTTTTCTACTTCTGAATAAGAAAGAGAACACTATTTCTACACTAAGTACTTTTGTAGTGTACTTGACATTTTCTTGTAATTGCACTTAAAGATGTACAGGAATTCATAGCTGCCAACTGTTCCTATTAAATCTTGTTTGTTCCGAATATATGATTTTAAATCAAAATATTTTCAATATTCTAGCACCATTTCACAACTTATACTGATTTTCTTTCAACCCAAAGTGGGTATAAAAAACTAAAAGCAGAGCCTGTAATTTTTCCACTAATTTTGCAGAATTCTATCTATTTTAAGACCATTGGTTCTCGGATTTCCACAAATCAAAAACTTATTATCCTACGAAATTTTGGAAACTTTTGCTAAATCCCATTAACGAGGTGTTTTCATACATATGACTCTTCAGCCAATTTCATTCCTTTGCTTTGGCAAATTTTCCCCATTTTGAATATTTGGAACTGCCGTGGAATATGCTAACATTGTGATTCTTTTTCATGCAACTTTAATATCTATTTTCATATTTACCTGATTTAAAAGTTACACATTCCGATTGTTGTTCACACAATTTAAAAATCGTACGTGATTCCTATTTGCGCAATTTAAAAATCCAATATCGTCATTTGTATTAATGAATATCGCGATTTGTATTCACACCGTTGTAATATCAACAACGATTTTCGTATTTAACGGATTTAAAAACTACATATTGGAATTCGTATTTTTGTGATTTAGAAACTCAATGTCGCAATTTGTATTTTCGCGTTTTTAAAATCCAATATTGCAATTCATATTCACATGATTTTATAATCCAATATCGTGATTTATATTCAATTGATCTTATAATCCACTATCATGATTCTTGTGACATTCTATAAAGTTGTGACATTCTTCATTTGTAGGCAATTTAATTAAAAATGTTAGTTCAAAAAATATGTTAAATTTGAAACATGTATAAAAAATATATAAATGTTTATAAATTGGTATGTTGATATCGAATTTTTGCCTATAAAATTTTCAAGGTTTTTCACTTTGTGTCACAATTACCCCTGATCTGATTGGCTTATCATGCTCTGTGTTATTATTTTTATTTATAACAAGTTGGCAGCTATGAAAATTCTTTTTTTTATCCCTCATGTTTAAAATTATGTTGATTAAACAAATCAAAATTTTTGGTCTTTATAAATTCTTCAAATCGTGGTCCGACTGTAACTATAAAGCCTCAATTTTATTACCTCATTGATTTGATTTTTAATGTGCTCAACTTTTTACTTGGAATTGTCATTATTTCTAACTTGTTGTAGTTTGAAATTCTGCTATTTCTTTTTTTTTTTTTTAATATTTTTACTAATATTACTTTATTATACATTAATGAAAATTTTGGTTTATTTCAAGTGTTTGTTATTGTACGCAGTGCTAAAAACAAGCTAATTTCCACGTTATTAAGAGGCTAAAATGTATGTTGGTGATAAAAAAAATTTCTTCTTACTTAGTTATTAAATAAAACCCACTTCTAACAAAATGATAAACAACAGAACTCTCATTTCTAAATCATCATTCAATTAAAATGTATTTACTTCTATGCACCAATGACAATAATACAGCATACCAAGAGTTAGATCTTCTAGAGCCAACAAAGCATTTTTTTATTTGTTTTGAAGTATACAAAACTGAATGCTTTATAATTAAAGAAAATTTCAAAGTTCATAGTCAATGATTAGCTATAATTTCTACTAATTCTTGTTCTAAAAAATGAAAATGGAAAAAGTTTAAAATAAGAAATTGGCACAACTATTTTACATGCATTATCGGGACTATCAACTTTATACCAAAATGGTTAGAACCAGAAGTCTATAAAAGCTCAAAACTTTTAGAAGCCAGACCAATTTTTTAGGAGATAACATGTTATGAAATGGAAAAAATACTTTATGAATTTACATGACTTTATTTTAATTTTAATGTCATCTAACAATAAAATAATTGCTAAGAAATATAATGTTTTAAGATTTCTACAATGCTTTTTAACTATGCGAACTATTTTTAACTATGTAACATGTGTTAAATAATGTTCCGTTTTATATATTATGGTACAGAATAATCAATTTTTAACAAACATTTTACTAATGATGCATTACCAAGATGCAAGTGTATATTGTTGGCACTTACATATATTATGTGATGTATGGTTTATTTTTCATGCTTTTCAAACTATTTTTAACTTAAACAGAGTTGAAAAACTTATTGCTACTTTCAAGAAAGAATTTTCTACAATCAGAAAATTACTGCATACTTCACACTTTAAATTTTTTCTTCATAACTCAACCCCAGTGTGAAATCAATTCATAATTGCAAGGACTTACATTTGCTTCTGCAATATTGCTTTTCTGTATTAAAACAATTTACATGGATGCTCTAAATCATAACAAATTGAACAAAAAACTAAACTCCAACATTGTAATAAAAAATAAGTGTCTTTTTTTCTGCTTTGGATTATAAAATATTCTGATTTGGGAGTCTCCAAAAACAGTTACAGTATGCTGTTATAGAGATTCAGAACTATTTTTCATACCCTATATTAAATAAGATTTTTTTATGTTCTATCAACTAAGATTTTTTCCCCTCTCTGTCATGAAAATTTTGGAAGAAAATGGCATACTGAAGTATGTGTATATCTTGAACGGCAGGGGAAAATGCATTTAATTGCTAAAGAGTTATTTAATTACCTTTAATTTCAAGAAAGTTTTAATTTTAAATGCAGTACAACTCACCATTTAACACTGTTATTTAAGAAAAATATTCCTTTCCTAAATTAGAAATAAATGAAGTTCAATATTAAAATTATTTTCAAATTCACTTTAATTTTAAATTCTATATAAATGAATAGTTTGTAAGATTATTCATTTAAACTACTAAACTCAGTTTGAGTCAATGCTCAGTTTATAATAAAATTGTTTTTCAAAAAAGTTTTTCTCTATGTTTAACAACTCTCCATAAATGCAGAAATTGTGTAAGATTTAAATATTTATATTTAAAATGTGAACAATAGTACTACATACATCCTTACGTTTATTATTGGGAAATTTGCCTGAAAAATTTTTTCATTAGTTCAAATGTTCTTGATAGGGATTTTGCATTTTTGAGTCTTTTCTAAAGCCAGTTAAGATCTATAAATGAAAAATTGTGATAGTTCAGAAGAGAAATTTATTTTAAAGAAACTAAAATAAAAAATTTAATTTCACTCCTTTGGGGCTATTACACATTAGGATGTAAAATACCTAACTTCTTTTTGTTTCCTGTTTAATTACCTAATAATCTTTATTTTGTTTGTAGTTTTTATATTACTAAAAATTGTTAATCTTGATTCTTATTTAGTAGTCAATAGTAATAACAAAAGCAGGGTTTATATGGGCTATCATCTTCCGTGCATTTTAAAACTGGCTTTTCTAGCATTCTTCATTTCATTTCTGGTGGCACATTGAACCAGAAAATTCTTTCCACTCTAACTCTTACTTGTAGGATTGCCACTCCAAGCATTCAAATGTTCTACAGTTTGCTCCTCAATAAAAAGGATAATCCCTCTACGTTTTGCATATTTATTAGTTTTTTTCCCTTGTAGTGCTCAAGTACATGCAGAAGCGAATACAGGCAACAGAAAATTAGGCAATCAGGTCAGTAGCTCATAACGTATGGCTAACTTTTGCTTGTTTAATTTATATATCTCATGACTCATTCTTTTTTCAGGTAATACGTAAAGGTTGGATGTGTATTCATAGCTTAGGCATTATGAAAGGAGGCTCTAGAGATTACTGGTTTGTCTTAACCTCAGAACTACTTACATGGTATAAAGATGAAGAAGTAAGTGAAAATTATATACAGCTTTTATGTATCTTATATACACTATATTTCAGTACATTGATCAATATTTTTTAAAAAAAAAAATTATTTTACCAATACTTTCAAAAATGTCTATAATATTTTTAGACATTTTTATATCTAAAAGTATTATTGTTCTCAATTAGGTATGTTGCATGTTTCGAGAGTTCACACTAGATTGAAAGCATAATGCACAGAAACATCTTATTGCCTTCACGGAAATATATGGGGTTTTTTCGCTAAAACGCTCACCTGAACAATATGATAATGTAATGGCTTTTTATATTGCTCCCAATCCTTTCATTTCTAAAAAGATTAAATAATTAAATTATTGCAATTTTGAATTTTTGCTTTGGATAAACTATGAAGGAAATATTTAATTTTATTGCCCTTCACTTAATATACCTCTCTTAGACATTTTAAGAAGGAACGCCAAACTATTTTCTGTTTGAGAATTTTAAGCCAATGTATTAAATGTTATAGTAAAAATTTCATCAACAAGAATTCGAAAAAGCAATGTTTCATTTTTTTTCCAAACATTAAAAAAAAGTTACTACTTTTTTTCTTTAATTATTTAATTCTATTTCATAGACCATAAACTATACAGTACAGAGCAAAAAAATTGAAAACTTTTAGAAAATGCTTTATTTAAGTAAATAAAAATAGATATTAAAATATGTTTAAGGGTATCTTATCTTTATGTAACATATTACATTTAAATTAGTTTATTCTTTTTCCTTCTGCATCAGTAGCCATCTGTAGTTGTCTTGGTACAGATTTTAAAAAAGACTAGAATGTTGCTAGTTGTTTCGTGCCATATTTTTTTCCAAATCTTCCTTATATTTTTTAACTGTCTTCTTTTTTGCTTTTTCAACTCTATTTTTTATTGTCTCCGCAAATTCTTTATTGGGTATCAGGGAATGAAGCAAGACACTTTAAAATGTTAATTCCATTCTCATTCAACCGAGGTTTGTCTTGAAGTGTGAGAACTGGCATTGTCTTGATGTAACAAACTCTCATGGTAAAATGTTTTCATAATGAGTAGGTTTTCATTATTGATATCAATACATATGGAAGAATTAACTATTCCTTCAACAGCAGAAAAGCATGTTTTTCACATCTGAAACATTGTAGCTGGGATCTTTCCATTAGTTATTTTTTTATATTATTTCATATTTTTATACTTATATTTTTATGGCTGGTTGGTTAGTTGAATTTTATTGGCACAAGAGCCAGAAATGGTTATACTGCACCAGGCACTGGGTTAAAAGTCGGTCTCTAGGTCAAACTACTGTATTATTTTAAATCAGAGAATATAGTCCTATAGTTTTGATAAACTTTAAAAGGTTGTGATGTATCGGGTCACCAAGTAAAGATTGAAGATTTAAAAGCTGCCAAAAAGTTTGTTCCTCAAATGTTTGAATCGTTCGCAGTCTGTTAAAATATGTTTAATTGTAATGTGAACACGACATAGAGAGCAGCTAGGTACGGGTTCAGATTTTAGTAAGTGCATGTGGGTAAAACGGGAATGACCAATGCGCAGTCTATTGATTATAACGTGAGTTTTATGATCAATATGTATTGTTTTGAAGTTGTCGAGATTAGGACAAATTTCGTGCAGTTTGTTATTAGCTTGTTTATTCCAATGTTCTTTTCAAGCCTGTTGTACTGTGGATTTACATATACATTTAAAATTAAGAGATGTTATAAGGTTATTGCTTACATTTTGAGTGGTTTTAGCCTTAATATCTGCAAGGCCGTTTCCGTGTATGCCAACATGTGATGGTATCCAACAAAAGTAGATGTGGAACCCTTCATCACACAATTCTGTAAAGCAATTTTGAATTTTATAAATCATGGGGTTTCGCCCTATGTGAGGAATACTTGATATGAAACTGCGAGAGTCAGTATAAATTATCCACTTGCGATGAGTTTGATCAGAGATAAAACTAAGAGCTAGAAAAATAGCGTAGCATTCTGCAGTAAAAATTGATGAGTCTTGGTGCAATTGTTCAGATATAGTACAATATTCAATAACCACACCACAGCCAACATAGCTATCATGTTTTGAACCATCAGTAAAAATTGGTTTAAAATCATTATAATTATTACAATGTTCATAAAATTTTTGGATAGAAGCACTAGAGCTGGTGTCAGATTACTTGAAATTATTATAAATATCTAAGACACACATCGAGACATCGACCCAAGGTGGGATAGTCTCTATATTAGTAAAAGCTGTGAAATTGAAAATGTTAAAATCATCTAAAATATTTATGATTCTTATCCCAAATGAAGGGATGCTTATATTTTTATATTATTTTATATTTATATTTCCATACTTAAATTCAAGCTTATTTGTTAAAAAGCAGTGTTTTTAAAAAATCCTTTGTACAATATGCAATTTCAAGAAAGTTTAAATTTATTATTTTAATTTTCTACAAATAAAATAGTTTTAGAAAAATGAGCAACTTTATTAACGAGCAAGATCATTAAAAAAAATTTATTAATATTTGTTATTGTTGTTGGACATCATTTCAAATAATTTTGCAATTGCTATTTAAAATTTCTTACGCAAGAAATAATGTATGTATATTATCACTATAAAATTAATTTTTATTACTTTTTTTAATTATGGTATTTAATGCTTTCATTAATATCAATAATTTCTTATGATAAATTTATGGCATTATATTTGATTTTTGTAGGAAAAAGAACGGAAGTATATGCTGCCATTAGATGGTCTTAAAATCAAAGATGTTGAAGCTGGATTTATGTCAAGACGCCATACATTTGCTCTCTTCAGTCCTGATCAGAGGTAGTATTCTTTTATTTGCTTACCATGTTTATTCTTTACTGAATTTTACATTTTTAATTAAATTTATTAGTATGATGTAGTGGCTATTGAATTATTTTATGAAACCTTTTTAATCAGATATTTAAAAACTAATTTTGACAAAGAAACTATTTTTGAAATGAACTCTGTAATGCTACGCAAGATAATGCATTGAATTTATAAATAATGCATCAAACTTACATAAATTATAAGTTCAATTGTCAAGCAAATGCACTCACACAAAAAATAAAATCTTATGACTATTATTTCTTAGGGTATAAAACTACATTTATAGTAGTAAAGTATCTTTTTGTCTGGGACAAAATTTACTTTAAAATTCTGACTAGGAAATGTATAGCATGCAAAAGTCTTTTTCCAAAAGATAGTATTTGAGCATTTCATATATATATGTGTATATAAAATGCTAGAATATGTTGCTCTGTCAGTATGTTCAGTTGTTAGGAAAGATTTTACGATTTACAGACTACCGTGTGAATTTCGTGCTCTGCTAATAGAGCACTGCTTTTCTAAAAATTAATCTCGTTCACCCAAACTTGAATGCATTATTGTGCCTTTGATTTATCTTATGTTCTCGTATTTAAATAACTTTTTTGTTATGGTTGGTAAAACAACTTAAGGTTTAACTTATAAGATTAATATTTATAAGCTGAAACATAAATGTGGCTACCACTAAGAAAAGTTTTACTTCATGGGCCTACAAGTTGACACCAATGAATATGCCAAACTACGAAACAATACCCTTTTATTCTCTACTCTCTTATAATTTTTGTTAAATCTACCAAAAGTGGCAACATACAAGAGATGAAAATAATCTACCATTACTGGTGTAATATATTCTTATTGTATTGATTTTTAATAAATTATTTCATAAATTCTTGATATTTAAAATTCTGCCTATTAAAAAGGTGACTATCTCTGTTCACCAGAGAAAGCTAGTTGTATTATAATTGTAAAGTCAGACATACTAACATTTACACTACATAGAGAAGAGATTATACTATCAGATGTCTGAAAGTTTAATTCTTTTATTACTAAAATCGAAGATGAAAATCTGCTTTTTCAAAAAAAGTTTTTCTTTTTCGAATTCCCAAGGGGGGGAAAAGATTAATTTTCATGCTTTTTCCTACTAATTCAAACGCAATTTGAAATCACACAACTTTGTTCCTGTTTACACGAATTAAGATCGTGTTTCGTATTTTCACAATTTTCTTATCAGATATTGCGCTTCGTATTCACCCGATTTAAAAGCCATTATTATTATTTATTTTTAAGTGACCTAGAAATTATACATTGGAATTCTTATTTGCCCTATTTTAAAATCAAACATTGATATTCATAGTCACGTGATTTTAAAGTCAGTCATCCTTGAATCATATTCCCATGATTTTAAAATTAAATATCGAGATTAGTATTCGCCTGATTTAAATTTTGCACACTGAATTCATATTCACACAATTTAAATAAGTAAATAAAATCTCGCATTCAATATTTTTACTAAGACGTTAATAACTGTTTCCTTCATACTTTTTTTTTTTTGCTCAAATTTTAGATATTTTTTCAGTTATTTTAAAAATGTTTTTGAACATAAAGGTGTCTTTTCACTTTTCTATCTTCAGCTTTTTGGGGTTTTTTTCAAATCTCATCCCTGTGGTATGAATGAACATAAGGTTCGAGAAAAGTTAAACATTTCTAAAAAAACTCTGTTGCTCAAACTGCTGTGTTGACTATGATTCATTCAACTATAATTTATTTTTTATTGTCTTGTTTTTTAAAAAAATGTGATGTTCAAGCTGCTAATGCTTAACTTTCTGTTTTGTGTTATTTATTGAAAAATTTTCTTTTAAGCAGGAATGTTTACAAAGATAACAAGCAGTTAGGGCTATCTTGTGAAAGCCAGGAAGAACTTGACAGCTGGAAAGCTTCTTTCTTAAGGGCAGGCGTCTATCCTGAACGATCTCAACAAAATGGGGATGTTGAAGACACTGAAAACATGTCATCAATGGACCCTCAACTGGAACGTCAAGTTGAAACTATTAGAAACTTAGTGGAGTCATACATGAGGATCATAACAAAAACTTTTAGAGATCTTGTGCCCAAATTTATTATGCATTTAACTATAAATGATGTAAGTCTTATTTAATGAAAGTTTATTGAAGAGTTAAGGAAAGTTATTAGTTCAGTCTTACATAAAGATCATATTAAAGAAATATTGAGCCACATTTTTTTTTTTAATATAAATGGTGTAAATCATATTTAATAATGTGGTATGGTATATTTAATGAATGTTTTATTTTTATAAAGAGTTGAGTTAGTAAATAAAATTTAGTTGGGTGATTACAAAAAAGAAATTCGGAATCATTTGTCCAAATTTATTATGCATTTAGCTATAAATAATACTCAGTATTTAATGAAAGTAGTTCTTTTTTTTGAAGAAGAAGAATTGAATTAATAAAGAAATTTTTTAGTAATAGTCTATTCAAAGATAAATATATAGCAATTGAATAATAGTAATTAAATATTTTAAATGTATAAAACTAAGATTTGTTATCTAATTGTGTTCAAATGCAAGAAAAATGTACAATGGTGAGATATCTTAAACCATGAGTTTCCATGTCTAACATATAGTAATAACAAAAAAAATCAAAAGAAAATGTTTGCAACTTAATTGGATCCACTATATTAATCAAATAATTGTGAAAATTGCGACATTCAAATTGTTGTTTAGTCTTACACAAAAACTTATTTCTTAATTGAAGGGCTTTGTGAAAAAAAATTTCTAATGGCACCTGAGCAACTAAATTTAAAAGAAGAAAAAAAAACTTGTTGTCAATGTAATAATTAGAACATAAGCTAAATATATCTAGGATCATATTCAATGATTTTTCCATCTGTCCATTAAAATAAGTACTATATGTCTGTATAGAAATCTTATCTATTTTGATGTATTAATTTTTTTACTTTCTTACAGACCAAAAATTTTATATATACAGACCTGTTAGCTAATTTATATGCATCTTGTGATCAGGTAAGTTTGTGTGTTTAAAATTAATTTTATTTGTGTTATTGTTCCTAATTCAAATCATATTTTTACTATGAGAAAATGTGGAAACAATTTACAGAATTTAGTTTTCTGATAAACTTATTTTTACTTTGATATATACTTAAAAATAAAAACTCAATTACTGATGTTTATTTCTTAATAAAATGTATTTCTTTTAATGTAATATTAATACTTTTTTAAAAGCATTCGAGTTTAATTAATTTTTAAAATAAAATTGGAGAAATATGCATAGCTAAAGAAATAGTTTGAGTGAAAAATTATAAATGATATCATTTCGAAAGTTCCTGGTAATCAAGTGTCCTAAGTCTCAACCTCATATTTTATTTTTTTCAAATCTGCATGGACAGCAACTAAATGATTTGAATCTATGTTTTAAATCTTATATAATGTTTTAATACTGTTTAAAATATATTTTAACTTGTTTTTGTCCGTTTGCTTATTGCTAAGTTTATTTTCACTATTGAACATTAACCCCCCCCCGATTAAAACTGATTGCATTATCTATAAGTACAGCAAAAATTTTATAATTCAGAAGCATTTTGGTTTTTACCAGTTATAAAAAAATGGTGCAAATTCTACAAAATAAGAATTATTAGCTTTTAACCAAATTATCACATTTTCACACATTAAATTGTAATATTTATAGCTCAAAAGCCTACCTTTACTATGATAATTAATTATTGCAAATGCTATTATTGTAAATGGCTTCTGACCAACATTATAAATTACTTCTCTACAAAAAATACCCTTAGGTTTAGGGGTGTATGATTTACAAATAAAAATTTATGTTCCTCACAATATTTTCTCACTTTGCCTGATTGCAAAATTAGATGCAGTAACTTTTTCTGAAGTTTGTCTAGATAATTTACTAAACTGGAAAAGACAATTTACTAAATCTGTAGTTTTTCTTCTTCCTGATTTATTATTAATACATGTTCTAAAAGTACAGCTTTTATAAAATTAGGCCCTATCAATAACAGTATTATCAGGATTAAAATGAAATCCACATTACAGTCCTCAGTTATTATGTCAGTCTCGCATGAGCTCAATAAACTAGTTCCCTGGCTCATAAACATATTTTATAGTTTTCATTTTTTTTAAAGTAATTATACATTTCCAATAGCTTTAAATACATATTTAGAGAGAGTAAGCTATTCCATGTCCTACTCCTCTCATGTAATTAAAAAAATATATATATACATGTTATACGTTTTAAGACAAATATATACTGCAGAAGCACTCAATGCTTATTAATAAACTGCTCAAATGTAAAAAGTTATGATTAAGAAGATTCAAATAGTACAGATGACTGCTTCAGCATACCTCATTTTTTTTTACACCATAAAGTTGGGAATCTTAACATTTTTTAAAATATGATAATTTTTATTTTCTTATTTTGAAAATATATATTTCAATCAAAGAAATTATAGTATGCTGGCTATAGATATAAATGTTATTATTTATTATTCTACAGTCCCAGCTAATGGAAGAATCTGCAGAAGAATGTCGCAAAAGGGAAGATATTATGAGACTTTACCAAGCGTGTAAAGAGGCTTTATATATTATTGGGGATGTTTCAATGAAAACAACTTACCAACCTTTACCACCCCCTGTTAAAGATGATTGGGTACCACCACCTGAGTCACCTGGGTAAGAACATAGCATTTAGTTGACGATAGAATAAAACTGTTGGTTTCATGTATCTATTCCTAAGCAATATCTATTTTATCTTCCAGAGTTATTTCATTCTAGAAAATTTAGTACCCTCATAACTTATGTAATCTGAATGATTGACAGACTTGAATAAATAAACTTGAAAATTTATTATTACCTTACTTTTTTAATACCGCAATTAAATCCCAAAAAAATTTCTCATAAAGTTGGTAATAATTATAATAAATAAAATAAAAAGAGGATTGAAAAAAAGAAAGAAGAGATAAAAATTTTTTGCTTAATTTGATTTTTGATTCATAAATACTTTTATCTGCAAATTCACTTATTCATTAAAGTTTAAAATCTTTGAAAATTTTGAACTGAACAGACTATGTTGATCTAAACAGGTAACTTTAATCCTAGCAACCCTAAATCAACTGCTTGACCAAAAAAAATTTTCATTTTTGCTGTAATATGTTTAGTAATGGTTTTTAATTTTATTAATTAGCAATGTTAGAATATTTTAAGAATCATTTGTAAAACTGAATTATTACAAGTAATTTTGTTGGTACTAGTTACTTTATTGTTTCTTGGCAGAATTATTTTTAATGTTTATGAATCTGGCTTAGTTTCTGTCGAGAATATATTGACTTTATCTAACATAGATTTTCCATCATTAGATCATCACATAGATTTTCCAGTTCATTTGTGCAATTCAACGTTACTATGACAACCCTTGAAAATTATTATTTATGAATAAATGAAATGGGTAAAGAAGGAAAGTAAAACAGTGGAGAGACAATTCAGTTAGTAAAGATATTTATAAAAAAATTTGTAACCTATAACCAAAAACCTCAATTATTATTTTATTATTCTATTTCATGGATCCATATTTTTTTTTATCAGTTTTCGTTAAGCAGCATAAAAATTTGCCAAAACCAACACTTGTTTTTATTTATTCTAATATTAAATTTGTTTATAACTTATCAAATCTTTCTTTAAACAGTACTCAAAGAAGAAATCCCACGTCTCGAGCACCACCTCCACCACCAGTTAATCGTAATGCTCCATTTCTGCCAAATAGACCTGAACCAGCTGGTCCTAATCGACCTCCACCTGCTGCTCCCCCCAGAGTTGTACCTGGTGGTCTACCTCCACCCCTTATACCAACGTATGTATTATTTTATTTTGCATTATCAGGAATGGATCTAGATTACCTCGTACATGGATCCAAAACCATGTTCAGTGCCCATTCCTGAACACTGCATGAAACAAATGATGTGTACCTTCTATGCATTTTGTTTATTTGACAACCTCTAAAGACCATAGAACAGGGTGGTAGCGTTTTTAAAAAGTGCTTAAACAGGGTGCGTAGCGTTTTTAAGAATGCTTAAAGGTGCTTATTTTCATTTTGTAAAAGCCCTTAAAGGTGCTTTTTTCATTGAGTGTTCTTAAAAAGTGCTTAATTTTCCCTTTTTCAAAATGAGATTTTTCCTTTACTATGTTGATTATAGCTCCGAATTATACAAAAAGACACAGTTCACATTGTGCTATTCAACGTTTTCACAATTAATTCAACCCAATCTATTTCAGCGTATTGTCAGTCTGTAGCATATAAAAACGCCATTTGTTATCCATGATTCGAAATTTCATGATTTTTGACAATTGTAAAAAACTATCACAAAATTTATTTATTTATTTTTTTTGGCATAACAGTTAAAACAAGATAAAAACCGTCAATTGTCGAAAACTTTCCAACCCTGCCTAATTATGATATTTTTTTAAAGTGCTTAAAAATATTTTTTAAGTGCTTACTTTTTGTTGAATAATTTGGCTATGCACCCTGTTAAAGGTGCTTACTTTCGTTTTTTAAAAGCCCTTGAAGGTGCTTTATTCTTTTGGTGTTTTTAAAAAGTGCTTAATTTTCCCTTTTCTAAAATTATATTTTTCCTTTACCACGTTGATTTGTGCTACGAATTATGCGGAAAGACACTGTTCACATTGTTCAATTCAACATGTTCACAATTAATTCAACCCCAATCTATTTCGGCATATCGTCAATCCGTAGCGTATAAAAACGCCATTCGATTTACATGATTCAAAAATTTTGACAATTGTCAAAAACAATGCCAAAAGGTTTTGTTTTTTTTTGACATGACGATTAAAACCAGATAAAACCGTCAATTGTCAAAAACTTTCCAGCCCTACCTATTTATGATATATTTTTAAAGTGCTTAAAAATATTATTTGAGTGCTTGAAAAGTGCTAAAAAATATTATTTCAGTGCTTAAAAGATGCTTATTTTTTGTTGAATAATTTGACTACGCACCATGTAGAAGTTTTTCCTCTCTAGATCCATTCTTAATTATTTTATATTGCACTTTGTTATTTTTTTTTTAATATGTTGATTTTTATATGTGATAGTTTTATAAAAATTAATAATAAAGCTTTAAAATTTAATATGTAATTTATGTGGTATTATAATTTTTAGTAACCATAATAATCATAAAATAATGTATTTTTATTTTTAAAAATATTTCTTATTCCAATTTTTTTTTCATTCATTTTTTTTATAAAATTTTTAGTCATTAATCTATATGTTGAATGTGATTATTGGATTCTTTTGAGTCGATTTCAATTGTTGTAATTTGGTTAAAGACTTCATGCGCAACATATTTCCATCTTACTATCATATATTGTATGGCAATGCAGTTTTCAAATCAATTGTATTAAAGCAATGGTATGAAAAATTCTTTGCAAGGAAATTGGTGATAAGTTTTTTTGCTTTTTAGTCACTTAATTTTGTTAAATAAAAAACTATTTTCATACTAAATTTATTTTCAATTTTATGAGAGAGAAAAAATAGTTGTCAGGAAACAAAATACAATAGTATATCAATAGTTTTTAGGAATCAACCTGCAAAAGTCAAGTTTTTTTTTTTTTAATTTTCTTTAAAAGAAATTATTTAAACTTCAGTTAATTGCCGCCTCTTGAATAAATTTTCTTTTAAAAAAAAATTAATTTTTATAAATAAAACTGTAAACAAAAATTTCTGTACATATTTTTGGCTTTCTCAAAATTTCTAATATAATCAATCTTTTTCTAATACAGTCTATTAAAATTCATATTGCATTTTTTTTTCGTAATTTGAACTCGTAGTGAGCTTTTGTTTGTTTTTTTATGTACTAGACGTGGCTCTGGTGGAAATGCTCCCTCCATTCCCCCTCGTCCTTGATGTCTTCCATCTGTGCTCCACTAACAATGTGTACTTTGTGCTTCACTCAAACAGCTGACTAATATTTATAACTAATCAATGTTCTTGTTTTATTTTCTGGGGTGTGTGCAAACTACTTTTTTATTCATGCTGAACCGGTGATTATGTTATTCAAAGATATGTTCTGAAATAAGAAAGGAATTGATTCTTCCTACGACTGATTTTTTTTTTTCCTCAATGTTTTTGCATACAATTTAATTATTATGTACATACACTTATTAAGTAATTTTAAATTGTTTTGAATTTTAAAAACAATAACAAAATTATTTTAATCAAATTGTCTTCAAAAATATTTCTTTCATATAGCAATTTGTAAGGCTTACTAAGTTAATTACAGTTACATTATTTCATGTTAATAGCTACATACATACTAAAGCAAATAGATGTACTAAAAAAAAAAAATTCTAAACAAATTTTTAACATATCCTTTTTTTAGGAAAAATAATAATAATGATAGTAACATTTCTAATTTCTTTAAAGAATTTCAAAAAAAAAAATTTTTTTTTTTTTCAATATTTTTTTTATTTAAGAAGGAGGGAATTTATTGAAACAGTGATATAATTTTGATTTAAATTTATATCGCTGTTAAACGATAAAAATTTGAAAAACATACTTGCCTTTATATATTGTTTCTATATTTATGTATTATAAGATCTATGGAGATAAGATTATTTTAGATAAATTATTAAAGTTTTTGTGTTTTACCTACTATTTTTTGCAATATTTTACTTAATGAAATTAAGATATGTAGCAAAAAAAAAAAAAAATTTGACATCTGTAAATCCGTGAAGTGCCCTATGGATGCCCCTAATGATCATAAGAAAACAATTTAAAACAATTGTAATGATTATAATGTTATATTCCTAGATTTGAAAAATAAAATAATATTAAAATTTTATAAAATTATACAAAATTATATGATCAATTCAAAATTTGATTCATTTATGCAAAGTTTACTAAAGTTTAATAAGGTTGTATACAAAGTTTCACTTAAAAAAATTTAAACTATGAATGAAATAATAAATGTTTGAACTAGTATGTTCAAATATAAAATGATAGAACTAGATTAAAAAATAGTCTTAGGGATATTTGTAATGCATATTATAGATTGGTTTTTTATTGAAATTGTGGATAAATAAGGTAAACATTTTGCAACCACCCCAGCATTAATAATGTATTTTATGTAGAATATAACATGCATGATATCATCTTGTCTTTGTTTTCTGTTAGTTATTCATAACTGCTCTGTCTAATGATCTTACGTTGTGCTTGTTAGCTGCTTTATCTTCTAAAATAATGCGTTTATCCATGTTTGTGTTATTTTATATAAAAAATATTTGAATATTTCTGCTATATTAACATTCCTATTGAATAATCCTATTTATTATTTTATTTTTGCAAACTTTTTCTTGATTTAATTATAATGAAATGTCTTGATTTCTTTGTGTTTTTGTATGGCTCAATTTTCGTAACCTTTTAAGTAGTAGAAACTAAAGCTATTTATATGTTAAAATATTTAGGTTTTATCTTTTAGGCTTTCGTTTTTAGGTTATTTAGCTATGAATAGTGATGGGATTCAGCCAGTATGCATGTGCACTTAAATTTTTTTGAAATGCTTGAAAACATAGCTTCTTTTAATAATTTTTCAAATTTAAAATATTTTTTGTGATGAATTTCACATTTATTAATGTTTCATACAACATTTCCTTTTATTTGAATTTGTTTTAACGTGTTAGCTGCCACAATGTTGGAAAAATAGTGTCCCCCTGAGCCGAGTCCTTTTTTCTGCTAATTTTACTTGTAATTGTGAAATAAAATCCGGTATAACTCGGAAATGGTGTTTTTTATATTTTGGCTTGTTTTTTTATAAGTCATGCCTTACGTGTCTCATCAAGAAACACGCCTCACCACTCCTGCAATGGTATCTGTTCCGGGACAACTGGCGACTGTTCTGGAATTTTCTAACAACAATCATTGCAAACTTGATCAGTTTGAAGTGAAAATTATGCATGTCCGACTACAAAGAGAACAAGGTTACCTCAAAAAATTGATGGATGAATTCTTATCGGGCAATAAGCCAGAACAATTTAGCACCGAATCCAGTAAGGGATTTTCTCTTGTATCTTTTCGGATCCCTTTTTGGTAGATCCAGATATACTGGGTTGTCTGAGACACCTCAACCATGTCTTGCGGCCCAAACACACAGAAAACTGATTCACAACTAACTTGTCTTATGGCAGCTAATGTGTTAATATATGCTGATTAAATTTGCACTGCAGACTTTTTCTTTAAGTATAAATATTTAAAAATTTATTCCAAAATTATATAATCTAGATAATTTAAATATGCTTAATTCTTGATACTTGATAAAAAAATTTTAATTGATGTTATTCTTCTATTTTTAAATTAATTTATCTCCCAAAAAATTATAAAAATTATTCAAATGTTATGGTTTTCCATAACTTTTGAATCCCATCTCTGGTTATCTTTTAGTTTATTGATAATGCAATTTTTTATCCCCAGTATTTACACTATATACATGTTTTCTAATAAATATATGATTTTTATGTAACAGAAACTTAAATCAGTGAGTAGAGGAAGGAATCATTATTTATTTTTTTTATTATTAGTAATTTTATGAACTGAGCAGGCACTGCTCTGGTTTATCGATATGTCTTTGGTTTGAGATAATGCATACTTGTATGATGAATGTGGTTATTTATAAACATTCGAAATTAAATTGTCGTTAGATAACAAATTAGCAAGTTGAGATTATGAGTTAGTCTGAAAAATTGTAGTTCAAGCTTTTACTTCTAGTAATAGTAGTAATTATCTTTTTTCAGTAATTGTTTTTTTTTTTTTACCAACTTGTAAAAATGTATTTAAGAATCTCATATGTCTTTAATATGTGATTCTTTATTACTCATATTTTTCGTTCTATGTTCATACTTTTTTCATTTTGTTTGTATTTTCAAGTTACATATTTTACAAAGTGTTTTCCCTGAACCACATCTAGAGATTGTTTTTAAATATATCTGTCGATATATTTGTATATACCTTTACTCGCTGTCTATAAATGCTTATTTTTGTGTGCTACATTCACACTATATCTTTCTTAAGCTGAATTAACTGCTTAAAAAGAAATTTAAAAATGATAGACTATCTCTCTTTTGTGTAATCAAACTATTAATTAAATTTTGTGCAATACTCCTTAATGTTAGTATGAAAAAATTAACTATTTTTTACTGCAAAACTGTTGAGACTTAAAGTTGTTATCTGACTCAAAGTTTGTTGAGCTTGATTAATAAAAAAGCTTAAAATTTTTTTAAAATTCAAAGTGATACTTAAACGTCCATCTAAGCAATAATTAATTATTGTACATACTGTTTTATTCTAATTTGAATTTAATCAAAATTTTTATGTATACAGCATTAGTTCTTGTTAAATACTATTTGTAAAGCTTTATGTAGTGTACAATTAATTTTTTTTTGGAGGCTTTAATAACAAGTATTATAATTTACATATTGAAGCTTGTTGTGAAAAATGTTGCTTTTATCTATTTTTTAATCGATTTTGATTTTTTACTACATTTTTTTGTAGTCTTAAACTCTCAGTGATTCTATAGAATCTTTCTACTCTAATATTGTTATTAATCTCTTAACTATTATTAATCTCTTAATAACAATATTAGAGTAATAATATGTATGGGAGACAATTGCTTTTTGAAATGGTTATTTTTCATATTCGTGTATGTTTAAAAAATGTTAACTTTCAATTAATTATTTAACTGATTAATTCTTCCCAATTAAGTTAAAACATTTTCTGAACATTATTAGCGTCATGTGATTGTGATTTTTCCTAACAAGGTGTTGTAAGCAAAGAATTAATATTAGAAGAAAAAATTTTAAAATGGATAAAAATTTAAAAAATAAATAACAATTCAATTGTTATATTGTAAAGCAATTATTTGCATATAAAATACTCAATTTCAGGTATCTATATATATATGCTGCAAAATTTCAGCTGTCCTTGAACTTTTTGATATGCAGACATTTACAGTTATGATAAGCTGTGATAATTATTGCAATTCAAATAAAATAGTTAGTCATTTATTTTGCTTAAGCAAAAAATGAGAGTTAATACAAGAAAGTTAAAAATATCTTCTTTTTCTTTAGAAAGTTTTTAAAGCTTAATGGAAATAAATAATGTATATATATTTAATTAAGAAAAATTTTGAGCCGTAAATTAATAATTTTTAATTAAAATTGTTTACCCTTTCAGTATTAACAATATTTGTGTCTATAAAAGAATGTCTGAATCACGATTTAAGTGAGATGTATTTCAACTCATTTAAATTGTTTTAAGTGTCTTATTAACTTACAACAAAGGTACCACAAGTGTTACTTGCAAAGTTATCTAAATTCTGTAAATTTATTGATTTTGATACTAGGAATAATATAATTCTTAAAAATAAAATATTAATTCTTTAATTAAAATTATATTTAAATATTATTCCAATATGGATTCAATAAGTTTCCAGAACAATTTTGTTTATAAAGGCGAAAATAGAGTTATCTAGTACCACCACATCATTAACTTCCCACACATCTTATTATGTAAATCATTGACTTCGTTGTTAAATACTGATTATAGCAACTATAGAATTAATTAAGAATCTAAAGTCTTTAAGAAATTTTTGAAGTTTAAAAAAAAGTATTTTGTGAAATCAAGGATCAATAAGAAATGAATTGAGCTAACAGAAGCGCTTTCTCCCATTATTAGCAGGAGTGAAAATGAGGAAAATTTAATCACTGGTCCAAGGGATCAGTAACTTAAAAAATTTTACCAGTGCATATTTTCACCAGTCCGTTCATTTATGTGTCTCTATTTTATAGATTTTATAGAAATTGTTAATAAAGTAGGTAATAATTAAACAGGGAATGAATTAAAATGTGTACAGAGAATGTATAATGAACAGCATAGCAATTCAATTGCTATTCCAGGAAACTGCTGATAATTTACTTTACAGTGTTTCAAGTCAAATTATAGTGGTCTCAATAGTTCCACCATTGGAATTTGTATTCATCTTTTGACGAAAAATCATGGATTGTTTTCAATTTTTTTCAACTCTTTTCTTTATTTTGTACACTAAAAGTCTTGTTTGATTTTTACAAAGACTCGATTTTTAAAAATTAGACTAGATTTAGAGGTTCAGAATTAGATTTTTACTCTCAAGTCCAATTTTTAGAAAGACATAAAAAATAAGCTTGATTGGAGAGTGGCACTTGGAGTATCTTACTTGTTTTCAAAACTATTAAATTATCAGCTTCTCTATTATAAAAAATCTTATTAAAATCATAACTTTGTGTGATGTTTTCATAACAAATCTCTTATTAATGTAATAAAACGGTATTTTTGTATTACACCTACCAATAAATAATACAGTATATGACC